GCCCTAGCTGTGTCTCAAGACCGCTTAAACCAGCATATAGCAAAGCACACAACTCGTGCAGAATTGTGAGATATGTTCCGGTGAACATGCTACCGTCACTTTGCGTTTCTCTCGGAAAGTGGGAAGATAGCGCAGCCTCTGCCCTGCTATACAAGAAAACCCTTCAGCATTCATTGCTCAGTGTGTGTTGGATCCTGCAAGAGTGATTGAAAAGCACAATAAAGTATACCAGCATAGACCCCAAACAGCTTAGTTGGCAAGAATTGTTGTTGTGCTGGGCGATCGCAGCCCCGGCCTCTTCCTCGGAAAGCCACGTAAGCGAGGAGGACAAGAGACGGACAAGAGGAGGACAAGAGAAGGACAGGCTCCGGACACAGTGTTGAGTTGCGCGGCCAGAGGAGGACAAGAAAAGGACAAGAGACAAGAGGAGGCAAGAGGAGAAGAGGAAGACAAGACTAGGACACAGGGTTGGCCAACGCGACCAGAGGACAACAGCAGGACAGAGGACAAGACCCCCACACACAAAGCCTGGGCACAGAGTTCAGGGGCGCGCCAGCCAGTGTGGCCAGCTCTTTTTTTCCAAAGAGAGAACCCGAACAGTAAACATTCGTTTCAATTTACGACACTGGCCCAGATATGATGGTTTCACGGCCCAAATCCCTTGTGTTTGATCAACGGTCACCATTTGCCCAAACTCAGAGGCTGGCCACATGGGATGCCGCGCATTCTCTTCCGACTTCCTCTGGAGAAGAACCTCCATATCTGGACTCATTCCCACCAGGTCTTCTGGTTGGAATAGTCCGAACCTCAGAAAGCAAACTCTGCAAAGTTTTCGGTGTGAACGACATCTGGACCGGGGTCTTCTTTTGTGGAGAGCCGCTTGGAGAAGAAGTGCGGCACATGCTTTGACAGTGCCAAGAATAGAATAGAATGGGATAATGTCATCAACCTGTTTCGAAGGCCTTCGCCAACGTCGTCCACCCTTTTGAACATCGAAGCGCCCTTTGTGGCATCCGAGAAGGGACCAAAGCACGCCATGATCAGCTGCAGCATCCCACAACATCGAAACTACTAAAATACGACTCCGTCTGGTTTCGACAAGGCCAACAGCTCTGGCTTCGGACAGTGGTTCTAGGATGGTGCAATGTTGGGACCTTTACGTGGCATGGCTTCAATTCATGCTGATGCCACCTGAAGAATTCGGGTCAACTCACATCAACTGCTGATTCTGAGCTCAAACTCCAAGCCAAGGATCTCCCAACGGAGCTGGTCTGACCTTGAGGTGAAAAACATGCAAGCACTCCAAGCACTGAATTTGGACACCATGGCGTTTGGAAGCATTTTAAGCTAGTAGTCCTTATGATCAAATGCCTCAAGTTTGCGCTGATCCGACGAAGTGCCAACACAGTGTTATGCACATGCAACCCAAACTCTCATCGACAAGCTATTCTTAGGCAAGGTCTAGCCGTGTTCTTAAGCTACGCGTTTCGGGCTCCCCTGCGTTTGGCGATAGCTGCATGCCGTGAGTCGCCGTTCGCGGTGGTCCCAGATCTAGTGTCCTTACATGAACTGCTGAAGACATACTGTTGAGTCGATGGTAGCAGGAAACATCAGGAATTCATGGAAAGCTGGATTTGACAGGCTAGGAAACCTCAGAACCACACAAGTCAACCTCTCCAAACCTCGCGCGGAAACTGTTTCATCTCCCATACTTTGCTGCTCACTTTGCTCAACTTGCCTCCGAAGGGCACCGGGCGGATGGGCGCCCAAGCGAATGGAGCATGGCTTCCCAGTTGCGGGGAAGGCTCCTGAGCCGGTTCCCGAAGCCTCCGAGGCGATGGCGATGACCTCAGAGTTCCCGTGAAGTGGCGAGATGAATCTCTTGAATGACTGTGTGCGCGGGAGAGGGGGTAGAGGCAAAGTATGGCAAAGTACCACTAAGATCAACTTCTTGGACCGTATATGGGTGCTGGGAGGTCTTTCTATTTGTTGTGCTGTCGTTATTTTTGAATTCTACGACCCGTACCTACGATGAGCGATGATGTCTGGAACAGGAAGACCAACATGATGCATCCTGGACAGCTTGACCATAGTTTTCCCGCCGTTTCCTGCAAGAATACTTGTCTATAAGGGAACTTCTTGGCCAGGCAGTTCTAAGCTTTCCACAAAGCCAAGTTGAGGTTCGACCGCAGTCCCGACGTTGGAGACCTGGGAATTTGAAGCAAAAAGCACAGCACGTAGGAAATGAGCATCCAACTTGTTCGAAACCAAAGCTCCAAAGCTGAAACTCAAGTCTCTGCATCAACCTCCAATTATAGCTGGCAAACAAAAACCTGAACCAAGTTGTACATGTGGCTCAAAAGCCAGAGAAGCTACGTAGTATGAATTGTTCTTTACGCAACTGATGTCTCAGTCATACCCACTGGTGCTCACATACTTGAAGGCCAAGAGGAGTTGATTGCCAAGCGGGAGCCAAGTGCCACACTGCCGCGGAGACTGGAGGGGCTGCCATGCTGCCCTGATTTCAGTAGGCTCCATGGTACGCACATTTGGATCTCAGCAGTTGATGTTGATCTCAACCGTGCAGGTGGGCCGTTTGACCCAGAAAAAACTTCCCCCCCTGTGATGATTGCAGCTTGTAGCGACTGCAAAGAACATTACTATAAACTAAGATAAGGTCCCACAAGACGACAGCCACGACAACTAAAACTCTTAATATATTGAGCCTAAAAGCTCATCAACAGCTTAAGCTGAAACACCCACAATATGCCGCCGTGAGCAATAACTTGCCTGTTCGCAGCTACTACACCCTCGATGACTGTCTGAACGACTAAAGATTGGGAGTTGTTTTTGTCGCCAAATAGATACACATTAATTTACTGGTCTGGCGAGATCTTCACTCAATTCCACATGGTAGAGTTAGATGCTTCCTATCTGTACTACTCGTGATCTTTCTCCTTTAGGTCCTTTCTCCAAATTATATAACGATAATTGGACTGCTAGCATGCTCACAAAGCTATAGCTTATGTTTGGATAGGCATCCACCCGCACAACAAAGGGCCCATAGTGAGATTCTCAACGGACGTGCGCAGCGAGAGGACTTCTGGGCGAACGATGCCGTTTTGATGATATGAACTGTTCACTCTATTTATCGAGCTGCCTCTGGTTGATCCGATGCCTAGCAAAATTATTGTCAACTAGATTCAGCATTTTGTGGATGGTCACCCAGTCCCTCGATCTTCCAAGACTTGAGAAATATAGCGGAATGCAGTGTTTGCTTTGTCAAGACACATCTTTGTTCAAGAGAGCTCAGTCACTCCGCATGTGTCCAAGAAATCTCAGTCTGCTCTTACTTCAACATCCCCTTCGTTAAGGATGTACACAAAGGCGCTGCGTTCTTCGTCCAATGAGATGCATCAAGTCCCTGAGGCAAGGTCGATACCAACGTACTTCGCCTCGGAAAGCGGCCAGCATTCCGAACGGGCCGAACGCCGCATGCCAAAGAGTTCCAGCGATATGCCAAACCACCAAGCACCAATGGCTTACCGATAGACATGAAGAGAATATCATAGATGATCATATTATCCCCAAAAGAAAACATGCAAAATGCAGGCTCCTGCATCATCGGTCTGACCCTCCGTCACCTGATCTTCACCACATCACCCTTCTTAACCTCCCCTCTGAGCTGCCCAACGTGGACGAAAGCGTCAAACATCGGAGCTTCCGGGCGCTCTGCCTGGTGTCAGGGTGTCATGCACGGCTTTTTCCGGGTTCCAAGTGATGCAGGTTAAGACAGGAATCCTCAATCAACCAGGTCCTGTTTCAAGGATCTTAGTCTCATCTTTGCCATCTGAATGTGTCTTGCTGCTCTTCAAAAACTCTTTGATTCATAGAACAGCAGTGTGTATGCCGTATGCCGATTGATCTTCTCCCCGAAGAATGTTGACACCCTTTTAACACACCATTCTTCTAAGATTCCCCCTCTCTCGCGCTCTCTCTCTCTCTCTCTCCCCCCTCTACTGGGTTTTCACTGAACTGTACAGTACAACATCCAGTCCGACGTCCAAATCAACCATTTGAGTTTTGCAATGGTGCCAATGCCATAAGCCACAGAAGTCGAACTCCCAATCTGAGGCCTATCTTTAGACAAATGACACATATTGATTCTCCTGTCACTCAGAATTGACACAGTTCTCTAGCCATTTCTAGCCCATATCTACAAGCAAGAGTGTATATCCGGTATCCACACTGAGCGGCGCGCCCAGCCAGCCGGCATCATGTGGTCAGGTAGTCAGTCTGCTTGTCTTTGGTGATAAGCAACAAGGTTCTTGGGTGTCACGACACATCAGCTGAAAGGCATACACAAACGAGGGAATCTAAGAACTCTCAATGCCCTACAAGTGCACAAATAATGCCTATGTACTGCAAATGCCCAAGCGAAGTTTTCCTCTCGAGCCCACAGGAGTGTTGACTCATCAGAGACAAAATAGCAAAGGAAAGCAATCCCAAAACATATCTCTTTTTTAAAGCAAAATTGCAAACTTTAGCTGTGAATCTCTGCATGAACAGGTTGATGGCTCCAAGATTTCGACGCAACCTTTGTCAAAGCCCAAGATCAGTTGCTATCTTTTTTGCCGCCTTTTTTGCAGCCCTCATCTTTGGAGGTTTCCGAGCAGGAGCACATCGAAACTGTACAAAGATGTCTGGGAGCTCCTGCTGAACTGGGCGCTTTCGCCATCAGAAGGAACTGTGCCCGAACCTCACCGAAGGAAAACTCCTATGGGGCCTAATTATATAGATGGTCCCCCTTCTGGTTGCTAGTGCAGGTCGCAGGATGCCTACTTAAGTGATGATTATTCTTTGGTCACCGGTTGAATGATAAGCCAACTTCCACCCAGCTTCTTCTGGGAGGTGGTGCTTCCGAACAAAGATGAACACCCATCAAATCCCACCATGCATATCGGAACATCTGATCGATTGGATGTTCCGTTGCTTTCTGTCTCAAAACGTAGGTTTGGGCTGCCTTCCTTCCAAGGCCCTGACCGCCACCATTTCATGCAATTTTCACATCGGAGTTTCTCCATGTTGGCACTGAAAACCGCTGTGGCTCGGGCAGGTGAAGACCATGCTTCCCTGCTAAGACGTGTCTGCTCTTGGTCTAAGACAGTACTTGCATACGTGCGGATGTCAAGGCAGCATCACTATATATAGTGTTGAAAAACATACCACAAAGCATAGTTGGGAATCCATCCACATCTACTCCGATCATCACACAAAAAACAACACTGTTGGCCGCCAAATTTGCGTCTAGTTCTCTGAGCAAAGCTGCTTCATCTTGGAGGTCTGTGCAACCTCGTCCAGGCTCATGCGAAGCACACCAAGCGTACGCCATGAAGAGCACACAGCGCTGCGTTGCTTGAGGTCCTACCGTGGCTTCGATCTGATGCTGTGAACAGGTCGTTGATCTGCCAGGTGACTATGGTAGAAGCACATTAGATGGAATTTTAGCCTCTGCAAACTCGTTGGCCATGAAGAAAGAGAATCCAATAAAACACATGTTTTGTCTGAACATGGCAGGATCAGTGGTCAAGGCGAGCTCGTCTACGTTATTAGCAATATCAATCCTTACGTGCACTGCGATCAAGGAAAACGTGCACACACAGTTTAACGTACGCCGCCTGCCCAACAGCCAAATGGCATGAATTTTACAAGGACAACTTTCCTGATTCCACTTCACAACTTGTGAATATTAATTGCTCATCTGAGCTGAACACATGTCAATACCTGCACTCTATGCTTCCAGCCTCACGTAGACATGGGCCACCTTGGCTCTGCAGGGCAATTGGAAAGCACCCGAGTAACCATCCATTTCAAGTACTTTCCTGAATGATTCTAGTGCAGTATCCAGATCTCAAACACGTTTTTCTACACCTGATCACCCAAGTCACCAACTGATGGGTACAACATACCTTCCCTTCCACAAAGCAAAGCCACCTGTTGTATGGGGCTTTGGACATTCAATAACACTGCCTGTGGGCCAAAGTAACCTCTGTTCCCCAGTAGCTCACACTTGGACAATGTATTACTTTTAGTTTCTTGGGCAGCGCTCGCCACAATTGGTACTGTTCTGGCAGGCCTATGTTGAACACGAGCTTGAGGTTTTCAGGGATAGAGCAACACCGGTCCATGACTCTTCTGCTTTCGTTTTCCAACAGTCCCAGGCTTTTCCTCGCTGGTGCCACCTGCCTCAACTAGTTTGGAGCTGACCATCTGAGGCATACCCAGCAGTAGGCTAGACCCAGTAGCAGCATCAGTTCTGCGTCGGTTTCTTGTACAAACTATGGCTGACCTGGTCTCTTGTAATTAAAGTCTCACTGATCCTTGCTGAAGGCAGGGTGACTTTCTTGTGCAGCGTGCCAAGGCCAGGAACAAGTAGCCATTTGACGGACCAGGCTTTGTTGAGTATCAAAATGGGCATCGAAATGACCCTTTCCAATATGATAGAGAAAGAAACTTGATCGACTATATTAATTAGACACATTTTCTGGATCGAACTTGGGTATATATCCCATTACCAGAACCAATGGATGATGATTGTTAGTAAAGGCATGTAAATGCAATTTCGCAAAACTTATAACTGGTGATAGTCAGTCTTTTGCAGACTGCAACTGTTACTGGAAATGGACCACACCCTGGATTGAGTCTATTTGTGAGGAATACACGCCTTCACCAGCAGGGAATCAGAACATCCCAGTGACAAGCTCCATCATTTGTCGAACGGTCCACACAACAAATGGCCAAATCTCACGAGTAAAACATTCCCACAAATCCTGGGATCGCAAGTCGGCAAGTGGGGGCTGAGTCCAAGTTTTCCATGCAGAACTTGTTGCAACAATCGATTCACTCCACCCATCTCCATGCTTCCATCCTTCCACCTCTCAACCGTGACAGCCACGTCTGGCCACGGCACGGGCCGCGCCAACAGATCTGCGCCGAAGGCGTCTTGCGAGGCCACGACCACCGGGCACAGGTACCAGGCGTCGGCCTCGCTGGTGGGCGCTCGGCCTGGACACAGGCGGATCACCTGGGCTTGAGGATGCGGGGGGTGTGAAGAATCGGTGGACATTGGTTGGATAAGAGAATCAGTCATTGACATCTTGACGATCTTGAGTCTTCAGGCAAGTCTTGAGGTGCCCTTGGGATGCTTTTTGACGGAGAACATGGGCAAGTATGGACAATCCCTCTTAATTGCAGCAAACATAGTGCGCGTGTCCAAACAGCCTCTTCCTACTTGGTGAATATTATTGGTCTGAAGGCTAAATGTACTTTCCCTGTGAATAAGGCTCCTCAACCCCTTGCACGGGTTGAAACTGTGGTTTTGGCACGTTTTGACTGCGCATCCAATCCCAGAAATAGAACGCGATTCCTGGGTCTAGCCATAATCTGAAGGTAGCCCCTCCAAGCTCTCCCTGATAAGCAACTTATTGCTGATTACAGCAAAATGCATTTGTGGGACAACTAGTCCATGAGGGGATGGCTGGGGTGGTTTAGCTTCAATGAATTCACATTGATGAAAGCCACTATGCACTCGTGTTGGAATGTTGGAAGACCATTGTGGTGGCAGTTGTATGTTTCGCTTCCGTTGTCGGGGCACTGCCAATCTGTCACTCTCTACACGAACTTTGCCAGACACCTTTCAAGAATACTTGCACCACACCAGCAGTGAACATCTTTCAAAGTGAACTCTAGTGAAGATTGGAATATTTCTGTAAGATTCATTCAAAGCTCTTCACCTACAGCAAAGGGGGCCACTGGCTGTGAGGCCTTGAAATCTGCTGCTAGCCCCGGGTCTTCGCCAGGCCACTACCGGTGGCAGCTCACCCTCCTGGGCCGCGCATGACGCTGACTGAGCACAAATAACTGGGAAGGTCCATATATATATATATAGATGGATATTTGTGAGGGCCATGGGATAAAACAAAGTTACAAAAGGGATTCCTCCAACGTAACATTGGAATCCTCCACCTCTCTTCATCGGGTAAGCTGGGTTTACTTGTTGCGCAAATAGATTTGAGTGGGTGAATATGCTTTCAGCCATTGACGGAGGTGAGTCACAAGATTCCCATAGAACGTATAGAACCTGGAGCCCTCTTCCATATATGAGTTAGTTTATCAATGCCCTGCACTTCAAAATCGAAATTGTACCCGGTTCACCCGGGAAAGCATCCGCAGTTCTCCGAGCACGCTCGGTACTTTGACGGTGCTCCGAGCGTCATAGTGGCCGCCATGCACGAGAAGGCCATCGTCCCAGCCCGCACCAACAAGTTGAAGCCCTTCCTTCGAAGCACGACCGACCCAGCGGCTCATGTACAGATAAAACGCGTTGGTCTTTGGGTTGGCTGGGTCGCGAGTCCCAAAGACGAAAGAAGTGGCGGCACTTGTGGAGGGTTTTCTGTGTTTGGAGTCTCTTTAGGGATCTTGATTCTTTTTGAGTAGCTATTTAAGAATGATATCATTGCCTGAGATGATCACTTGACGGTTGTGGAAACAAGAGTGTGAATGTTTCTTTGCTGGGGACGCAGTAGTGGCTAGTTTGGTTGTTGCAGCAAGCATTAGTGTTGAGATTGATGTAACCCCAATGGCCATTTCGGGGGCAGCTAGCTGCCAGAACAGGACAGTGGAGTTGTTATGAAGAACGACCAAACCAAGTCAAACGCAGGGAAGGAAAATCCTCCGTCTTCTCACATATCAAAACACGTCACACAAAAAGATCTGTCCACACTTAAAAGCTCGTAGGGGCAACGGAAACGACCGCTTCGCCAAACTGGAAGAGGTTTAACAAGCCCGAACAAGAAGTGAATAGCTTCTGTCTTCACATTCTACTGTATCTACTCCCTCCACCTTAACGTTTCATGGGACAAGTCTCAGGTCGAATGAATCAGGTGTAATTCGGCCGGTCAGACCGGACAGGAGACCGACACCGGTTAGTCCCACTTGTTGATCCAAGCTGCAACCAGGAGCTGAATCGTCTGTCCTTGGAATAGGGCCCCTTTTGGGCGGTACCTATCTCAGCAAAACTTCAACCCTCGCCTTTCCAAAAGAAAGCGATCCAGGCAAAAGCTTCTGCAAAGAACCGAAAACCATCTCACCCACCCGGAACCACTCAATTGATTCCCCAAGACCAACCACCTCACTATCTGCAGCAAGCAGCTCTCGGCATCCGGCGAGCTTCCACGTTCGCGTGCCTCGGTTTTGGTGTTTTCACTGGCGGAAGAGCCGACAAATGATCAGCTCCAAAAACAAGTCTTCTTTTATATGTCTTTGGATGCACAAATACACTAAGATACACTAAGATTGAGAATGCGAACTATGTCCCCTCGCTTCTAAGGCAATTCGTTTGGCCAAATCAACACATATTCTGACTCATGCCCAATGCAGCATCAGTTGGAACAATGTCAGAGCACCGGAGTCTTGGTCTAACTCCCAGCGATTGGCAGTGATGTAACTGCCGAAGCACTGAAACCTCCTCCAGCCACAAGTAGTGAGGGCCGCCCTCGCGGTAGTAGGAGGAGAGAACCGTTGAGATGTCCTTGAGGCGTGAAGCTTGGAGAGTGGGCCGTTGAACTGGGTTTCTTGGGGTCGTAGACTGAGGAATTGGGATCGACAGTTGATGTTGCTTCAGTCAAAGAGTAAACTGGTTACTCAGTCAGTTTGAGTTGTTTTCGAAAGTTGTTACTCAAAGAGTCAAACTCAGTGAGGAAAACAACTTCAGTCAGTTGATGTTGCTTCATACATTATTTTCCTTCACTTTGAGTTGTTTTCCTTCCTGGCGAACAACTTCACACGGTTCTTCAGCAGCCTTAGTCATTATAATTTTATAAGGTCATGGTCATTGGCATCTTCCCTCACACTGAATTCGGCTGCCCCACTTGTGGCCATTGGTTTGCACAATCCAAGTCACGTTCACTGAGGCCAACCGAAAGGGCTTTGAGTCCAGAGGGCTCTTCGGATCCCAATCTGCCAAGAAGTTCGTGTGCTCCGACCTCCGCAGGTGCAGTTTGTGCCGCTTTTGCGCCGGTTGGGAGGTTGGACGTGTGTGGGTTGCAAAGGGGTTTCAGGGTGAGCATTCGCAGCTTGTGTAGAAAGGATGAGTAAGAACAGCTTCAAGATCCAACTGCCTTTACTTCGGCATGCATGAAGGTTGTGGGAACAAGGATTTACACAGTTTGCTACCACTCCCTGTCAGCTGCAGTGGCTCGCTACCAGCCTACAGGTTTCAAACAGCATCCGAATGTGAGCAGCGATAGGCCTTGCCCTGCAGAATCAACCCCAGGCAGGGGACCTTTTGCCATCCAGAAATCATCGACACTGACGCTGCTATCTGCCAAGCATCCACGTGTTCAGCCACGAGGCCAGTGGCCGGTTCGCCCAGTATGCCATGCCCAGCTGAGCACTTTTGTAGACGGCATAGAGCTGCGACGTCCAGGCTGGGCCGAGCACAGCAGCACAGCAACGTGGTGCGGACCGGCTGGGCCGTCAAACAAAGCTGTTTTCTTCTCAACACCTTGTGTGCCTCTCATTTGGTGAGAAAAAGGAGATGCCAACCAAATGAGGCTTCAACAACCTGTGCCTCCAAAAGAAAAGATCACAACTGTTTTTGAGGAGAACTCTCTCTGATCCTTTCTGTGGCCGAGGGTAAGCACATCATAATGTGTGGTTCCTGTCACTTGTCAGGGAAAATACAAGTAGTTGACCCAAGAAAACTGACACCCACCAATGACAACCTTACTCAAACACTCGTGTGTGGAAGATTTACCTACATTGACATCTGGAACCACCCCAATGTATGTAAATATGCCAGCCCAGTGGAGTGTCTGGGTTATACAAGTGGCATTCTTAAGTGGCTGAGTCTCCGAATCACACATCCTGCAGAATGGATCCGAACGACTTTGTCTCTCAGCTTTCTAGACCAAGTCATGGCACAGGCATCACCGGCCAGTGCCGCGTGGCAGGCGATGCACTCGCGCCGCGCATCTTGCAAAGCTCGGATGGCACGGTTCAGCTCCTGGATCACGGAGTCAGTTTGCTTGGCGCGTGTGGGATGTGTTGAAATGTGTTCAATCTCCTAGCATGCACGGGTAATCACGGGTACAATGACTTGGTGCTGACATTCAATCATCCAATCTGTACAAGCAAACTGTGAAAGTTCTGGAGAGCAAAACTCCTGAGTCAACCTCAAAAATGATGGAAATCTCTAAAAGCCCTGCAAACAAAGAAACAAGTACTCTCAAAGGACTTGTGGGGAAGAAACCTGAAACCTTCCCGCCCTGCGGCTCAACCAGCCCGAAACCGCCGCACCAGCCGTAGCCAGAAGGGCGAGTCCAAGGTCAGTAAGGCGCTGGCCAAAAGCTGCAGGAATTCCGATCTCAGTAGAGACGGCAGAGTGAACGGGACCATTCGGTCAGACTTTCTAGACTTTCTAGACTCTTCTCAGTCAGGATTCCAATGTTTCGTGATGTTGAAGATTGACGATGACTTCTTTCTTCCCTGAGGCCAAAGAACCTATAGTTCTCGAAGCCTATGGGACAAGTATATGGCTCTGTGCAACTATCTCTGAATGTTGTGGTACAATCTTCCAATCAGTTTAGGAGTCATGTCTAGACAAGGTCGATTGCTGCTCAAGCAATTAACTCAAGATTACAAGGTAGTCTTGGAGGCCAATCACTCCATTCCTTCATGCCCCTCGTGTTTGGAGTAGGTCTAATTCAACTTGAACAGTTTGAATTGTACGTCTGTGGTTCCACTGAGATTCACTGAGCTTCACGGAGGGCTGGTGAGACTGTCTCTCTGCATTGCCCAAGTGGCATCTTCATGGACAAAGCGCCCAGTACTCGGTAGGTTTCACCTGGCGACGGGCCAGTGATCGAAGCGAAGAACACGAGGTATCTTCAAGCAGACTTTTCAAATAAACAGAGATACCAACCTGGCTAAGATGTACAATGTACAATCTAGTGCTTGACAAAACTTGCAAGCATGGTGAAACTGCTGGCATTGAAGCCCTCATCTCTTGACTACTATCTCCTTCCGACCCCTTTAGACCTTTTAGAATCCTTTTGGACACTTTGACCACCGCACCTGTCATTCTCCACGCTTCCTTGCGTTCTCACTGCTTCAAGAAACCACCAACTTCATCCAAATACCTCGAGTCCACCAGCCATTCTCCTAGCACCACCACCCGATCCCAACGCTTCGGGCACCGACCCCACACCGCACCCCCCCGGCCGTCGCTGCGATAGGTCAAGGTGGGCGAGAAGGACTGCAACACCGAGCCGATCCAACGCTCTTGCGTCCAGGGCAAGGCGTGCATAATCAACTCCTCCTCCACCCAGTCCTGCCGTCGCGCTTGCGCAAGCGCACGACGCGGAGACCGGGAGACCGACATGTTTGTGACATCTAATTTGCTCTTTAGCAAAGAAGACTCCAAGGAAGTCACGTGGATTGGAGATGATTGGAGGGGTTGAGCTGATTGAGCACATGGTGACACAGTCGTTGGAACCTCAAGCCTCTCCATTGGATTCCCACTGACTCTTTATGATCTTTTGCGGATATCTCGGCATTCTCGAGTGTGAGCGTTTTCTCTCTTGTAGATTTGGGGATATTTCACTCACAGAATGGTATCCCGGTATCCCGATCTCTCACCAACACCAGCCTGACGTCTTATGAATCCTGCTACATTCATCCATCATCCACCGATCCATTCTTTCTATCTTTCTTTAAGTGCCTTACTGCTGCACGTTCTTGGCTTCGTGGCTTCTTTCATCCCGGCCGGTTCACGCAACGTTCACGCAGGAACTCGCCGTTCACGCTCCGTCAACGATGCCCTGTTGAGGAAGGACAAGTGCTGTAGCCCTGCAGCCTCGCCAATGAACGGACGTGGCGACAGGTCTCTTGACGTCATGGCTCTCTTATGTTCTGTCACTTAAGGTATTCTTTTTTGATCCATTTGTTCTCTTCAATGAACCGATTCCAACTCACAGGTGGTCTACTAGACTGGTCAGCCAGTAGTTCTTTCAAGAAACAGGGTGTTTTCTCATTCTTCATCTCCCAAGACACAGATCAGCGACCCACTGGATCCACACCGGGACGGACCATACACGGGTGAATCACAGACCTTCGGCGAAAGGATCCTCCGGATCCGCAGTTCAGTGTTACATTCATGGCCTTGATGCTGACAACCATGCTGGAGAGAAGATGGTTGCTTTGCTTCTCCTGAGTGCAAAACGAATTGTTTCACTGAGATGGATCTTCACCGTCCAAGACGGACAGACTTCTGAGTTACTTCAAACAGTAGTCCTGGACAAGAGCAGTCGGATGAAACGGTTCTATAGGATGTCTTCTTCAAACCCAACTGCATGAGTCACCCCCCCTTCATGACTGCTACAATTCCCATTCAATTCACAGCCATGACTCGTCCGTGAAGGAGCTGCAAACCGTAAGCAGGGGATGCCGCTGTGCGATGTAGCCTTCAAGACAAGTTGCCAGTCCGGAAACCCTCACTATTGACCTGTCCTTCATACACTTCATACCTGCCTCCAAGATCAAGATCAGGTGTGGGTTTTCCAAAGTGATCGAGGTGGCACGCATGCAATTCTGCCATACATGCCATGGGGTGACCTCCTATAGCCTTACTACTAGTAACAAGAAGCTACTAGGGGCTCCTGGCATCGCTACTAGGAGCAAGGAACGCTACTAGGGGCTCCTGGCCTTACTACTAGGAACAAGAAGCTACTAGTTTGCTTTGACACACAGCGGTCACCGTCGGTGCCTAAAGCTTCGCGGAGCAGCGGTGAGGAGACGAGGCCCCAGCGGCCGACCAACTCAAAGGCCTTCGCCGGTTCAACAGCGGATGACAGGGGTAGGACCGCCTTGGGTGGTTCAGCTGCAAGAAAAACGGGGCTAGGGACTAGGTCGTCAAAGGCGTTTTCTATAAGATGTTGTAAGCTAACAGGTGATGGGGAGGGATGTGTCAAACGATCCAAAGTTAGGGGGACTTTCTGAAAGAGCATTGTGTCTGCAAAGAGGTACCTACAACAATTGGGTGCTGGGTCCACTGAGCTGTTGGCAGCTTACTGGGCGCGTGAGGCGCACAACGAACATTGGACACATGAAAGGAGATCGTTGGTGCGATCATGCATTGAGTCGATCCCAGGTTGTGTAAATAGAGATTCGATTTTGCAGTGTAACTAGAAGGGGGCACTCCAACCATTTTGCATTACATCCTGTATCGGTGAGTTCTAGATTCACAAACACCCCAAACACATGCAACAACCAGGCAAACCTCATTTTGTTACTAGGAACAAGAAGCTACTAGGGGCTCCTGGCCTTACTACTAGGAGCAAGGACGCTACTAGGGGATCCTGGCATCGCTACCAGGAGCAAGGACGCTACTAGTGTCTTGTGAAATCATCCACCCCACCTCCAGTGTCTATACTTGGAGGAACACGTTTTTCTCGTCTTCCCAACACCCAAACCATCCAAAGCCAACCCCTGCCTGGCGCGCCGTCGCCTGGCGCATGGCCGAGAGGATGCCTTTGGATTTGATAAGGCTTCAAGTATGGGGATAGGGCACCATGTGGCATGGAGAAGAAGGTGTTCAGTTCCCTCCAGAATGTCGTTCCAGAAGGAACGAACGGGCGACGGAGGTAGCCACAGCGAGTGCTTCGCGACATGACAAAAGGGCGCGTCGACCTGGGTGTCGCATACCACGTCGACCTTCAAGCATTGCCTACACCCGACGTGTGCCACCCAAGCGCTGGCTGCCATATTGGAAGGATTGGCTGCGCCGCGTATTTCAAAAAGCCAATACAAACAACGAACGACCCAGCCATGAAAAGAAATCGGTGACCCGAACATCTCTGGCGGTGCATCGCCGAAAAGCCACTCAACAGGATCCAGAAACTGCCTGCAGGTCCAGATCATCAACCAGGCTACCTCGAGCTCAGCTGCAAAGCGGATCTGGGAAACTTGTCCCGAAAGTCGGATGAAACCCTCCAAAACTGCCCAGATCAGAACTGATCTGATGTGAGAAACATTGGGAAACTGTGTTGAGATCCTTTGTGTTCTTCCTTTGAGCTGCTCTTGAACCTGGGCGTCCATGGAACTCTGGAACCCTAAACCCGGAGTGGACCTTTCACACACCACAACCGCTTCTCAGCTGTTGGCAACTGCTGATCACGCAGGGATCAAACATCGATTCAAGGCACTGGGAAGATGCGCCAGGTCGATATTCTCCCCGATGCCGAAGAAGGTCATCACGTTCTGAATGCCTCAATTCGCGTGGAGGCTCTGAAGGGCATGCTAGACCCTCGTCACAGTGCTGTAGTGTCACATGGAATTGGATGGGGAGGAGTCCTAGTCTGACAAGGATCACCACGAAAGGTCAAATGTGCATTGGATATTAATTTGAACACGTGCACATGTAAGTGAGCAGTGAAACCGAAAAGTTCCTGATCTTTAGTATTGTCGTACTCTTCGTCTTGGTGATTTTCTTTTAACATCTTGACCATTATCCATTTCTTTGCCTATCCAAAATAGCCCAGCTACAGAAGCAAAAACGCAGGATGCTCTTGGGGATTTCCACCGTTTCCGCTGAACAGTAGAGGATCCATCGTGTTGGCTCCTGGCGAGGACGAACATTTAAGACAGAAAATGTTTGGTTAGCGAAGCAAAACACATAGAGAGGTAGTTTTTTGTTAGAGTTCTTTCATTGAAGAAGGAGTTGTTGTGTGATGTTGTGTGCTGGGTCTCGCTACATGCCGTTTGCTTACTCTGGGGCACAAGGAACAACCTGATTGCCGTCCTTGTACGGCTGATCCTGTCCTTAGATCATTCTCATGCAGCACACGTTCTTGATGAAGGGTTGGAATTCTCACGGTAAACCGCGAGCGAACATGGTCACTTTCTTGCGAGCCTATTCAGTCGGAGTGTTCAACTTCCCTATGACAAGAACACAGCGTACTGATGAGCTATGTAGGAAACCAAGAGGAACCCTTCGATCGTCAATAATGATACTACATGGGTGTTTGCACGAAGAGCCTAGCAAATTACTTTCTGTAGTACGTCTCTAGATATAGGTCCAGTCCAGTGCAATCATATTGAACTCCTCATGCTTGGCTCTGCAGTCCAACCGACTTGATCTGAATTTGGAGACTCTAGTGAATAAACACCTGGAATGAATGCAATTGAAATGGTCATTCTTTCCACTTCAGGATCACCTCAAGGCTTGCTGTCAAGTTGCCTTCCAACATTTCTCGAAATAGCCTGAGCTGACCAACAAGCGCAAACCAAGGCAGTACACTGGCACCAGCCGCCGCCGCAGCAAACATAGGCCCACAATATGCACAAATGTTTTGTTCATGCCCCAGCAGCCCAAACATCACATTTCACCCCCACTGGAGTCAAATCCCGAATATAACCGCGTAATCCTTTGTTGAGCCAACGCAACTGTAGAACCACCAAAACAGTTGTGTACATCAAATCACATCCTAATTATCAGCAATCCCATGCCAACTTCCAAAGGACGCAACAAAACCTTCAGCACACCCCATTTCAACATCTTTCAACCAGGTCAAACTGATTCAATGCGATAAAAACTGGGATTCATTCCACGCATCACCTCCCTGTTCCACGAAGCTCCCATTCAGCTCCCCTCGTGCCACGTGCCACTCTGCACCCCAAGTGGCGCCACGGCCACCGCTTGTCCCGCGATGAGGTCCTGGACCTTTGCGCCGCGCCTGGCAGCGATGAGGAAGCGGAGAGTGGTTTCGAGGTGCCAGGTGAGATGGCCGTTTTGTTTTCAGTGGAGAACACGTGTGTTTAAGTCTAGATCCAACTCCACCAGCTCCACCATCGTCCCGGTGCCTAAACGCAACACCGCACCGGGCTACCCACTCCTTCGCGTCGCGCCGTCGCGCCGTCACGCCGTCACGCGCGCCTGCCGGTCTTCTTCCGACGAGTGCCCTCGAGGTGCGAGACGAGCATGGCTTCCAGCTCTCGGAAGTCCTGGAACGTGCAGAAAAGCCTTCCGTTGGAAGACCTGGGAAGTGCCCTGTGTCTATATGGGTCGGTCTATCTGGTAGTAACAGTATTAGGCAAAGTAGAGAAGGTAGACCTAGCCATAGGAGCGCAAGGATCTGGTCATGCAGTTGTTGGACTTTGAGATGGTTTGAGATGGTCTTCTTTGTAATGCGTCCAACCAATGTTGTACATCATTGTAATATGTCCTTGGCTTCAACGCAATGGGACCAACAAAACCCGAACTGGAACCTAGTGACTAGTGTACCCAACATATCTGGGCAGTCTAGATCACCACGTTTGGAGAGCCGGCCTTGCACTCGGCCAAGTCATAGAAGAGCCATCCATCCAAGCCACTTTGCAGCTGTTCCATCAATGAAATCTCCTGTTCTCTGCGTTCACTGCGCGTGTTCGCCCAAAAGATGATGAGGTGATGTCATCATCACTTTGGGATCCCATGTGAGCTTTACGTGTCGTATCCAAAAATATGATATTTATGGGGGAGTTCAGAATGCCCACGCTCACACACACACAACAGTACCTCTCAAAACAAAGAACCGTCTGGAAGCCAACTCCTGAGCCCCTGTTTTCACACATCATTCCTTGTATCTTCCGCTGCTCTTTTCGGGGTTCATCATCTCCATCGGTCCGTCCTGCACTTTCACCGACAAGCTCTTCGCCAGCGACTGTAGAAGCCTTGGCAGCCCATCCGTGTCTGATCCGCTCTGGTTTTCTGCTGAAGCCAAATCAGGACGTGGTCATCCCAGGCTACCAAGTGATCCATTGCCACCAAGCAAGCAAACAAAACGACCGATGTTTTTAGGAATCAGCAATGATAGTCAGCAGCTGGAGTTGAACCGACACATTTCTTTCATCTTGCTTAAACAGCCCTTCTCTTTGGACCTTGGAACTCCGCTTCCCCATCAAAATATCTTTCCTTCCAGCCCAGGGCACGGTAGGGCGTCGAAGGGCACCAGCAAGGGTGTCTTGCTGGGGAGTCGCGCGAGCTGCTGCTTGGCGGTTCGTTTGGGATGTACCATAGGCACTGTGGCCTGCGAAGGAGGCGAAGGAGTCTGGGATGCATGGAGACCATAAGAGAGACCTGAGACGGAGGAGAATCCATCTCGCAAGAATCATACTTTGTAAGGCCCAAGTGTTGAGGATTCTCCATATTCTCCCTTTGTGGACGAACAGAAACCTCCAAAGCTCATAGCTGTCATAGCTTCCGTTGGTTCCCCATCCAGATCTTGCTAGGTACCAAAGCAAATGAAACCATGAACCACGCAAGCCACTACCGCTTCGGTGCCTTGACGGCATTCCACATCTCTTTGATCCGTCGCATCATGGCAATGCCTGAGCGGCTGATGACTCAAAATGTTGGTGGCACCATGGTACCATCCCAAAGACCTGACTCCACAATTCTCGCTCCTAATCACACACCCATTCATGGAATTCGAATGTAGTCTTCACTATAGGGCAAGTATGGTCTTCAGAATGCGCACACTGTCCAGTAGATGAACTGATTCGCACGATCCACTCTTTAGTCATTCAGGTCAATGCCTTTTGAACCCAGTGAGAAGGGGCAACCTAAGGCAACCCAATCCACTCCTAGACCATTCAAAGCTCCAAGCCGACAGGCGGACGGAACGTGCCAACGTCCAACGAAACCCGTCCGAGCGGCTGAGGATCTTCGCCGCGGGCACCACTTCCAACAGATCGTCCTCCATGAAGTCGTCCACCTTGGCGTCTCTTGGGTGAAGGAGGCTTTCTTGGCCGACTCAGTTAGGAGGAAAAAGTTACGGAGTGGTCCTTCAAGTGGTCCAGATGTGAAGAAGAAGGTGTCAGTGTGGCTTTGGGCCGGGCCATGAACGTTCCACGTCTTCTTTCGCACGTCACATCTTTCCATGTCTGCTCGTCCGACCCCTCGTGATCGGTCGGTCTGAGTCGGACACCTCATCCTCCTCGCCCTGACCATCCTCTCCTTGCCCGTCCTGCGACAGGTCAAAACCCAAGCAAAGACTTACATGGGGTAGGAAGGAGAAGAGTGAAGCCAATTATCTCAGCAATTAGATTGAACATATCATCATTATTCATCATTCATAATCTATTTAGTGAAGACAGATGTGCAAACTTTCAAACACCTAAGAACCTCCTAGCTCTTGGGGTAAAATCAAACAACCAGCTCTCCCCCGAGTGCGGTCGCACCGGCCCTGCAGCAGGTTGCGGATCCTCTTCCCCTGCTTGATTCTCGCTGTCAGTGTCGCTGTCACTATCGCTGTCGCTGTCTTCGTCTTCATCGTCAGTGTCATCACTGCTCTTTTCGTCTTCCTGGGCCAGCAACGTTTGCAGGCGGGCTGTTTTTGGAGACACGGACATCGCCTCCTTCAACTCAAAACATGTGACCTTCCAGTGGAGCCCACAATGTAAATCATTGCAAATCAAGCATGTCCACCACATTTTACCTTCAGGACTTGTTCTGCTAGGCACTCTCAACATCTAGTCTAGTCTAGTGATATCGTCAGAGCTTCAGGTTCGTCTCCAATTGGCCTTAAGTAAGTGAGCTGTCCGTAGGTCTCATGTAAAGCCAAGATTCTTCTGAGCTGCCTGTTCGATCAAAGCACGAGAGTGAGAAAAAGACACTTTGATCGGTCAGTCAGTCTGCATCCATGTCGGAAAATGATGTTACTCAGAAAATTGTGGGTGTCTTGTGTGATTGCTCTTGAGCAGGCAAAATGCCATGAACGCACATCAGCGAATGCACGTCGAACAGTTTTAAGTTTGCAAGGCCTGATTGCTCACACAAACTGAAGCTTGAAAACCTCTGCCCTTCAACCCCCGAGCACCTCCATCACCAGATGCGCTTAAGGCCACCTGCATGCAAAAGCATAGGCACGAGGATGCACTAGGCGGCACGCATTGTTACTTGCTTATCTTGCTTAAGGTGAAACAAATTCATCGTGATCTAGGCAGCAAAGGGAAGAACATCAGCAAAAGTTTGTCGTCCCACTGCCAACAGATTCGTGTCCCAAAGTGGGCTGATGACAAAATCCGTCAGGTCTGTCGCACAATCTTTTGACTTGCATCGCTACTCTCAACAGACTGTGAGGCGGCTATGCTGTGTCACTTGAACACTCAACACCTCATTCTTTTAACCCGTCCGGACAAGAAAAACGGTGACGGACTTCCCCCTAGTTTAGGTTTCGCCAGATTTATCGCAGGTTCCAACTTCGAGTCTGTCGCCAGGTCACCCTTCCATTTGCCCTTCCGCCATGTGAGTCGCTCGTGTATGCGACGGTCCCCGTGCCTCGCTGGTCTTCACGGTACCCGTGCTCTGGCGGCGCTCGGTCCTGAAGAGGGGTGATGGGTGGCCAAGCGCTTCATTCCCAATCTTGCAGAAAAAAAGAAACGAAGGCGGACTGTTGAAGCATCGGAATGGAAGAAGGTCGAGGAGTTGTGGCCATGGTAGGTGGCGGTCAAAACACCTCAAAATAGGCGCTTCTGGGTGCCACATACGCTGCCTGCGACGCCAGGTCTTCAGGATGACTCAGCTGGGTCGAGGGATCCCTTTTTTGTGGCCTGAATCCGCCCACGATTCGCCGGGGTGCTTGGAGGTGTCGAGGGTCAAGACCTTGTTGGTCATGGCAGTGACCATCGAATGCCACAAGGATGATAGACCTGCCAGGAACTGAAGGCATTCCTTGCTGAAGGAAGGGGATCGAGCCGCCCAAGGACCCAAGAAGTGCTTCTCATAAAAGCGACTGAAGTGTCCTCAAGACTCTAGAACATGCGAAACTGTAAATTGTGGAGTGTCATCTCGAGCAGTCTTGGGGAGACGTTCCAAGTAAATGTATGTGTGTGGGTTAGAAGTCCAATTCATGAGCTAGCTAGAGAAAAAAGGTGAACACTGAAAAGATGTGACTGCTCAACTCATGGCCTTGCTCGCGGCTCTCCAGCAGGAGGAAGAGCCGAAACAAGGATCCCTGTGAAGGGCCCAATGCACAAACCACGATCTCCATCAACTCCGACACTGCCTGACTTCACGCAACTCGGACACGGATGGACCGAAAAGGCCGTGACAGGGTCGAAAAGGAAGTCCCCAGGTTCAGAAAACTCCCCAGGTATGAGCAGGTTCAATCCCCTGGGGCAACACGGACCGGCGGACAGGTGGGCCACTACCCCCCCACTTCCAGTTAAGGGAATGAGCGGACCAGGTGTGGAACGTTCAAAACAATTCTCTGGTCAAGATCGCTAGTAGGTTGGGAGGCCATCACGTAATCAGGTTGGAGGCCATTCCTATTAGGTGGAGGCCATCGCTAGTAGGTTGGAGGCCATCGCTATTAGGTTCCTTAAAGTCTTACTATGATTGGTTCAACAACACAACATTGCTTCAAAATGCTTCAAAGCAGATTCTTCCAGCCAGCTCCATTAGCTCCATGTTACTCTTCTATACACCTAGTCTTCTCGAACACTCAGGATCTAGCATGTCTTCAGGGGCCTGTCGTTCCCTTTCTGACAGTTTCTCTTAGCCCAAGCTCTTGGACCAACAAAGCTTCCCAGGACCAAGGCTTTTCTATACTCTTTTCTATCGACCAAGTGACATCTTTGGCCGAGCTGTGCAACTTCAGTTGATGCTGCAAGAGAGCCTGCAGCACCTCACACCCACGCTGGGCTGATTGCTAACAAATACAGGAAGACAGTGACAGTTGAGGCAATGGAGTGGAAAGCTGCTGTGCCAGCGGAATTTGACATCCACGGGAAAAATGACCGATAGATACTAAGCAAGTCCAACCAGGAAGCTATTGTGCAAAACCCTGCATCATCTGCACATTTCTGGAAGGACCCCCGTCATACAACCTGAACATCAGGAACCTCCTTTGGGGTGCCTCTTCGGGTGCTTTCCCACTTAGAGGACTGGAAGTGATTTCACCCCAAACCTACCGGCCGTAGCCCTCAAACCGTGCCAGGGAGCCAATGGCCGCATCGCAAAGCCATCGACCTCCTTGTTGACGTCTCTTACCAGATCTTTCGTGCGATCTTTCGTGATATCCACCGGGGTAAAGAGTCCTCCAATCGCCAGCACGCGACAGCTGAAGCTGGAGAAAAGGTTCAGAACTTGATCGGTTGGCAGAACACATCTGAAGAACAAAGGATGTCTTTCCCCGAAAGATTGGATGTTTTGGAAAGCTGGCAGCTATCTCCTCTCAGTACTACAGCTTCATGTTCCAACACCATAGCTGCACATTGAACTGTTGGAGCACCTTCAAAAACAGACCCCTGCAAATACCGCGATATACAAATACCCCTGCAAAGAGCACCTTAGCGGTGTGAATACAAACCCCTGCAAATACCCCGGTATAGATGGTGGTTCTCCAGCTATAGAAGTGCCGGTGGCGGAAAGCTCCTTTCACGGCCTCGGTGGCCAGCTCGCTGTCGATCAAGGCCGCTTGCAGCAGGGCCACGGTGGAGGCTAAGGGGAGGAACTTCCTGAAAAACGTTGCCAGTGACAGCAAGAAGTGGTAGATGGCTAGGTGACAAAACCCTGGTGCTGTTGGTGCTGTCAAGATTCTTGTGCTGCGGACACTGGAAACTGACACTTCAGCATATCTTGGTGATTGACTTGAACATTGCATAAAAGAATTGAACAGTCTAAACAAATGTTGGTAAAGCACTGACTAGACTCCTTCATTGAGTGCAGCTGTTATTTCCAGGATGACATCACTGCATTTCACCCAAGCAATGATCATCTGGCGGAAGGACTAGTTCCTGGTGTTGATGCAAATGCCAGGCTTCGGGAGCCGTGAACTCCTTCAGTTTCTATGCGGAAATATGTCATGCCAAGGCTCTTCTCCGCCTTCCGCCGCTGCTGTCGTTCTTGAAGACCCATGGAGACGCTGCGCGCGAGGCGCGAGGCGCAAGCGTGGAACTTCTGCAGGGGCCGAACCACCTGACGTCAATCGCCGGGGTGGACGGTGAAGTGGATGTGGAGGCAGGTGTTGGTGTTGCAGATTGGATGAAGAGTGAACGGATTTGGTTTTCTCTTCCAACAAAGTGGATCGAACACCTGGAGCGGCTGACACCGACGGTGCGATGCCATGCCAACCACCGACCTTGTCGCTTTGCATGTCAGAGTTCTCCTGGGCGTGCGCGTTCCGTAGAGCACGTGGAGCATAGGTCGATGGAGATCGGAGAGGGTGATTTCTGCGGTGGGTGGGCTCACTTTGGGTGACTAAGCATATTAAGCTACCCAGCCAGGCCTGGGGGGCAGCCCTTTTGTCACAGTTTTCCCAGATGTATGCAGTTTGGACGAGAAATCCAAGTTCTACCGGCCTACTCATTCTGCAACCTACTACATTGAAACACAACTCCAAAGAATGATGTGGACTGCTTCATCAAACTGACATATGCCATATATATATTGCCCATCTGCACACTTCGGAACAACATCTGTGTAGACAACGATTGGGCTATGAACTGTGGCCATCCTCGACACTCCCTCCCGCTTGCGCCCCGCTTGCGATTCGGCCAAGATGCCATCTTACCCAGCAAGTGGAGGATCAATTCTTCGCTCACCTCAGGGCCAAGCTGCTCGCATCCAGGCAAGTGATGAGGAAGGAGAGTTTCTTCTGTCAGCAGGTGGCAGACTCTAGAACAGAAATTGAACTCCGGTCCACTTGCCTTAATTCCTGAATCAAAAGTCATCAAGTTGATAGCATGTCACGGCTCTCTGAACACGCCAGTGACCTGGAGTCTTCTCTGGCCTCCTATGTCAAAATCATGAAAAAATTACACCAGCATAGACCCAGATAGCTAGGCAGAATCCCACGACCTGTTGACATGCAACTGGCTGGAACAAGAATGTACGCAGCCTGCACAGCCACCTTACGGCACCTCCCTGTCTTAAACACACGCTCAGCCAGCTCACAGCACCAGCACCCAGGACCCCAACACCAGCACCAGCGCCGACACTTTCGAAAGCGCAGCCAGCTCATTCTTATTTGCAGCAAGAACCCCATCGCCGTCCCTATTTGGGGAATAACAACGTATGATCTTTCTCTCTCCATCGCCTTCTCGAAGACTTGATATAAGTTTATGCGCACAAAAGTATGCGCACAAACGGCAAAGCCCGTAGGCTTCACTCGCCCAAGGCCAAGCAGTATCCAGCACGACTATTGTGTGCGTAGCATGCTGAAACATGCTGAAACAATGGTCGGTTGAGAGCCTGACGTTGCGCATAGAACATTACACGTAGAAAAGTATGCGCGCAAGCAGTACAGCCCTTGACACAGCTGTCGGCCAAAACAGAACCCGAAGAGTGTAAATACCCCACAGCGCAAATAGACAAAGAACGCTCAAGCGACAACACGCTAACACCACCGGCACCGGGGCCCGCTGTCTCTACCGGACGCACTGCCAGCACCCAGCACCGGCACCGTGTCTCCACCACGCGCACCCAGCACCAGCACCACAGCCCGCACTAGCGCCCGGCACCGGCACCAGAAACCTGTCTCCACCACGTGCACAGCCAGCTCACAGCACCAGCACCGGCACCCAGCACCAGCACCAGCAACCTGTCTCGAAAGCGCGCACGGGCAACTCATTGTTATTTGAAGTAAGAACCCCATAGCTTCGCTATCTGGGGAATAACCGCAACACATGACTTTGAGGGTCTTTCGATGTTTAACAAACCAACCAACGGCTTTTTCTGTTCCTCCTGTTACGTATGATTTCAGAGTAGCTGGCACCGTTTCCCGCCAGATCCCACGATGTCAGGTTCATCAACAACCACAGTACTGTGGGGATTGCCGCCATCGACTCGGAACCGTTCCAAATGGACAGCGTCCTCCCCCTGTGCAACGCCCAGGTCAAGCCCAGGTCGCCAAGAGCCGCGTCTCCTGTGCCATCAACACCAGCTGTTGATCTTGTCGCTTGCGTGCAGCGTTGGGCGCTTCCTGGCCACCGCTTGTTGTCGCTAGCTTAGTCATCCAACCGATAGCCACACCCAAATGATCTGGGTCTGTGGATGTCTGAATTGATCGAAACATAATTTGTAATTCCCAAGATCGCCAAGAAACAAACGGATGATGGCTTGTGCGGTCTGGGTAGCTCACTTGATTGTTCTGTTCTCACTCCATCTCAATCTTACTCCGTGGCTGGCGTACCTTTTTGTGGTTCTTTCATCCCAATCAAAAAGGACAGTGGTCCTTGGCATAGATGAAGCTGGGCAAGAAGGCTTGCGCCGGATGAGCTGGCAAGGGATCCATCGAGATCTGAGCATGCTCGCAAATCTTGAACATACTTCAGATGCAAAGGAGGAGATGCAATGGAGGGAACTAACACCTCCCCTGAGACTTTTGGGCGCCAGCTGCAACATGCAATCCAAAGAAAAAACGTACATTATGAGACTTCCATGCAGTACAGAACAACATGGTTTGCTGGAATCTTGGCGACGACAGCAGTTCAAATCCTTTTTGCCTAGGGGTGGTTGTGTCTACTTGGCCTTCTACCTTCTTCAAACTGTGCTCCTTGCAGAATTCAAGCGGCAATGGAGCAGGTGGACCAAATGGCGCTTGGCACACGCATCAGCTGTTCCGCCTGAACATCGCAGCTGATACGGTTGGCGTTCGGAGTTCTGGGCCTTTGAGCGTTACGGAGAAATGGGATTCCGCAATTGGAATCCTTGGTTTTCTAGGGAAAAGACACTTGTCCAAACGTCTAGTCTAGAGTCTAGGACCGTTTCCCTTCAAGGTCGACAGGCATGTGAAGGAATGAATCTGGGGCCATTGATGCGTACGGAGCAGAACCATTCATCCAATGTCCATGGAACGTCCGTACCACAAAGCCAGGAGGTTCTAGAACTACATCGAAACAAACCAAACTTGGATCAAGTGAAGAAAATAACAAGGGGTGGTGATTGGATCGAACATACATAAACCACCCCTTTCCGTGGATGCATCTGCCATGTTTTTGCTTGTTTATCATTCTTTATCCACCATGCCGAGCGTGCTGATCTTCCTATTTCCTCGATCGACCTGCTTGATCTTCGCTGGGCCCCACAAGGATCGGCTCCACGGGCATCGGGGCGCCATGACCTCGTTGCTGGGCTGTGGTCCTCGCCCGGTCCTCGTCGCTGGGTGGGTTTACCCTCTTGATGTACTTGAATCCGCAACCATTTTTGCTTTTCGTTCAGGCACGCCCTTAGTTCCTTGCTTCCGTGCCTTCCGTGCATTCGTGTTTTCTTGCTGTAAATTGTTCCTGCATTGGGGACCAACCAAGTTGTGCCTCGGTGTCAGATCATTGCAAAGAGGAAAGAAAGACAGTGGTTTTAACATGTTTAAGCTCCCTACACCACAAGGACTCGGGGTCAATCTATTCAAGGTTACACCTTTGCGGACAGTCAACACCACATGGGGCTGCAAACCACCGGGACTGGAGTAGTGCAAAAAGTTCAACCGGAATAGGAGGTGCTGCGATCTGAAAACAATCTGATCCGATCAATGAGCGATGAATTGCCATGAACTGTGTTGACCTACCGTGAGCTCGGTACCGGGTGCTTTCTCCTTTAAATTGGAAAGTCTCTCCAAAACATCGCAAGTACTGGGAAGACCATGCTGAACAATTTCTAAGTCCCTGTTCAGCCAAAGGTTTCCCTAGTCCGGCCATCGCAACTCACAGCAACTCTGGCGAACTCACACGAGCGGCGTAGAGATGGAACCGGTAGTGGACCATAGGCAATGCCGCTTCTAGCCGCTGTAGCATGCTGAAGACCCGAACTCTCCTCAGTGATCAAGGTGACACTTTCTACAAAGCACTGCTCAGAACCTCAACTCTGCCATCAAAAATGGAGGGACACGGCCTTTGTCCAAACAATTTGGACGCCAAGGTTGATGCTTTAAATGTGCTTGAACTAGTTTGGCATGATGAAAGGAGCATTCCTACTTCTCTTCACACCTTTGCATTGCTCTTCCACTCCAATGGATGATAAATTTGATTCGACTTTGACTAAAAATGTCTGTTTGCATAGAATGGTGGAAACGAATACTTCGGCCTTCCTGGTACCATTGCTGAACCTTAATATAGATATGGCTCGGCTTTCTCAACGCATTCCTCTCAAATTTCTCCAAACAAACAAACCCTCCCACGAACCCTCTGCCATCCCACCAACCACTCTGTGCCTGATGTATCACCTGCACCACCTGTGCTTTTTTTCTCAACAAAACACGGCGTTTCACCCCACCGATTCCATGCATCGCTCATCGTCCAAAGCTCAACTCCTCCGATTCCATGCACTCCACCGAGTGTGTGGACGCGTCGCCTGCCTGGGCGCTTTTGGCCGGAAGTGTGTGAGCCGGCTGCGAAGGAGGGGGAGAAGAGCACATGTCGAGAGTCCCAACTGCTGCAGGAGTGGCTTCCTTCAGCATGTCTCACAAGGTTTGACCAAGATTTATTGTGTTCTTTTTTTGTTTGAGGGGAGATGTTGGTACTGATTGTGGATTGCGCTTTATACGATTGGACATTCTCTTGGAACAGGGTTCTGGGTCAAGTTGATGATGCTGGTTGATGTTATCCCTTCGATTTCTACAAGTACACAGCATACCCACTGCTATAGGCTCAGGGTAAAGCATTGTCGACACGGCCTGGCATGGCCCGGCCCCTTAAAAGAATGCTTCTCAGAACAGTCATCTTAACTATCCCCCCTGCAAACAGTCCATGTCCGGAATTACTTGGAAACAACCCTCTTGTTACATCGCTGTCTTCAGGGGCTGGCGGACATAGGTTTGACCCCCAATTCCCAAGCTCCATGTCGCTTCAAGCGACCAAACAGCTGCGCCAAGCGTCGTTGATGGCCAAGGCCCTTGTGAAGCGTTGGCTCAGGTGGAAGAGCACCGAGTGCCGCTCCGTGGTCAAACGCACGCTGGGGGCGTTGGAGCCTGTCAAGTGGGCCATATGCTCAGAAGCAAGTGTAGAGAATATAGTTGAATAACTTCGAGAGTTGCTGATGAATCCTGCTTGAAACCTCAGTTGTCTATAGAGGTGTGGACCCTCCCGAGTAGATTGTTGCAAAGCTGTTCAATCCGAAAAGTAACCTGGAAAAAAGTGAACATCGCATCACAAAGCATGACCAAGTGAAAAAACACGTGGTTCAGCTGCACTACCTACGGTTTCATTGCTCACGTCCTCTAGTCGGAACCAATGAATGGACACAAAAGGTACGGTAGATTCTATATAGAAAAAACTCAAACATTGGTTGATAGAGAATACCATTAAGGTATATAGTACAGTATACTGTCTGTAGTATTCTGTAGTAATCTTGTATCAATTATGGAAGCTCAGCTCCGATGCAACATTGCCCTGCTGTGAAGCCTGAGAGGAGCACCAACAGGGTTCCAACAAAGCCGCGAAGGTTGGACAAATCGTCCAGCTCGATGATCCTCAGTGCGATCTGGGTATATAGCAAATTACAGCAGGTTGGATGGACCTCCCATCCTTGTCCCTTCTACAACCTGTACTTGGGACTTGGGGTTGTTTCTCTGTGATTCATGGATGGCCACGAAACCTGTAAAGTCGCGTCAGTTCTTTTGGTGTCTTGACGTGACTACCGTTTGGATGCATTTGCCCTTGCACACCAAGATGATTGACTCAGTCTGACATTGATTGCCTCACAAAACCCGTCTGGTCTCGACATTTGGATCCGCCCGAGTTACCATATATATTTGGAATGAGCAGTGTGGGGGTTCACCCTTGAATGTTGTACGGCAGCAGAATGACTTAAACCACGATGGCAGTTCCAAATAGATCCCTTCAATTTCCCTTCACCACCAAGCACCCAGGAAATCACTAGAGTCCCTAGAGTCATCCGCCAAGCTTCATGATAGATCCCTCCAACATGCAGTGCTGCAACTTGCTCGTGAGCGCCTCTGGTGTCTCACTGCCGCTGCACAGCAACGGCTGGACACAGTCCTCCCAAGCCGGACGTGGCCAGCAACCATTCGACCGTGAGGCGAGAGACCAAATGAGACGAGTCGTGCACAACCAGGCGCGAGCCCTAAAAGGTCCACGGGCCATGTGGGGACGTGTTTCTCATGGTAAAAAGACACGCCAAAGCACCCTTAGACCGACGGAGGCCTCTTCGGCCTCCGGCCTGTCCTGGTCGGTGGCCTTCGCTTGTGGAACATCTTCCCATTCGTTCTCGGAGTCGTCCAACACGTCGCCATCGCCTCAGATTGGGGTGAACTAGGGTTGGGCGGCTGTGAAAGGAAAGACTCAAGATACTCAAGTACTAGAAGATCTAGAAGAGAGGTTCTCTGGCAAACTGGTGTGAGGAAATTGCGGAGTGAGCACCCTGCCAATCTTCTGATATACAAAAGGATGGTGCGACAAAGTGACCTGCGATCTAACAAAAGCGGTGGGTGCAGGGTGGGCTTAGGACAATGTTGGAAGCCAAAATTAATCTGGCACCTTTGAACAGCTCAAATCCACTTGTCACGCTTCACCACCCGCACCGGTCGAGAAGCCATGCTCCTGCGCGATGCCTCGCGACTCCATGAGCCTGGTGGTGGTGTCGCACACGAGTTCCGCGATGGCTCGTGGAAGAGGTTGACATGCATATCCCAAAAGCCAAGCAATTACTATAACACTTATTGATTGTACTTCTATATGTTGTTGGCAATGTCTGATAAGTCTGACATATTCTGGCTGATCAGCCCTACAGAGCGTCGGCACGCCACCTAACGTAGGAGAGGTTGGATTACATCTGTCAAATAGTGCAGTGTCAAGCAAAGAAAAACTGGGGCAAATGGAGCAACTCTGTGAGAACCGGAAGAACAACCGCTGTCATTCACCGTTTCACATGTCAGACACCCTCATCTAGCGACTCAAATGACTCAAATCATCGTCCTTTGAGGTTTTCGATAAGAAACGATGTGGGACTTTGTAAGAACGAACTCAGCCACACATCGACTGGGAGGGCCACGTCGAAGCCACGTCGAAGGGCTCTATATAGAACATGGATTGTAGTGGCCGGGATGGTAAATGTGAGTCAGTCGAGGCAATCAAATCCTTAAAATCTCAATGAAAACCCTCTGGCTGCCTCTGCAAGTGCTTGTCGAATTCCTCAGTTCGACAAGCAACAATCAAAATATGGCACGCCCAACCACACTCTAATGCGCAAAGAATGGACCATCTCCCAGTAACAAGCCATACCTTTCGTGAAGGCACCACTGTTGATTGCACGCCTTTTCACTGTATACAACCCACCTGCAAAAAAGCCTGAAACAGTGGTTGAATTCCTTCTCACAACCACAACCATTCATCTGTCGTTGTGGGGTGGCTTGATTTTTGCTAGAGCTTGGACCTGTTCCATGCTCTATCTACTCCAGGATCCTGACCCAGTTCCCTGAATACGATCCACCCACCTACACTCCATGCATGAGATCAGGAATGAACTCCTCTAGCACGTCCCCCAACAAATGGCCTTCATGCGCTTCCTGTTGAAACGATCTATAAATACATCTTCTTCAAGGGAATACAACCTGTCCACAGAATCCATTTGGAGATCACATGAGGTCGCAATAGCTAGAACGATGCTAATTATAGAATGCCATCAAACATTGTACAAACATGCTACAAGTATAATATAGAATGCTATAGAAGTTAGGATGCTATAACATGCCATACAAACATTCTTATCCAAAACATCCTTCTGCTCTACGGATTTCATTGCAGCGCCAAGCTGCAGTACGGTCTCCACCGCCCGAGGCCACTGGGTTCCGCTGCGTATGCAGCTCCTGGCATTGGTGTGGTTTGGCGGATTGCAGGTGCTACAAGATGTCCTCCTTCCAACAGTACGTAGCATGGAATGCGCAAAAATGATTTTAAGCCTATGAACGGCTTTTGTGACCGGCATTCTCAGGTCTCACTTGATTTTAAGCACTGTGGAAGGTGAACACATGGATGCCAAGCAGCGTCTTCTTTTTCCAACAGCCCTAAAATTGGTGTAGCTCTACTAGACAGCTCTGTGCTGTCTGGCCTCTGCTGTTCCTGTCAATTTCCTGGTTTCAGGTTTTTTCCAACTCCAGATCGCACGTGTCGAACGCCGGGGGCGTTGGGCGTAACTGGGCCTTGAGCCATTCCAGTGCGCTACCAAAGGGGTCCAACATCAAGGTACACAGGCTTCCGGACCTCAAAGTCACGAAGAGACGTGAGGCAATGGAAGGGACAGCGAGCTGTTTCATGCTATCTCATGCTATTTGTAGGTAATTGAGGTCCTGTGGAGCACGCACTCAGATGAGTGAGAACTAAAAAGCAGAACACTTTGACTTTAGACATTGTTGGATATTGTACTTAACCGTTTAAAGTTTATGTAAATATGTTTGAATGATGTTGCTGGGTATTTGGACGTTGTACCGTTGTACCTAATTAATTTATCAAAAATGCAATCTATTTCAACAAGCAAAGCACATCACCAGTACTACTGCCCACTGCTGCTCGCTCTACTGCTCTACCGGTGTCCACTGGACAAAGAATGATGGACCTCCAAGGCGCGCTTCCATGGCCACCGCACCCTGCAGTTGTTGGCTGCTAGGCCACGCTTGGACGGCTTTCCGCACGAAGCTCTGCGGGAAGAAGTTCCCCAGCTCTGCACCTCGTTGCGTTCGCGAAGCGTCGAACGCTCAGCTCGTGTGGCGCGACCCAAGCACCATGGTGGACGCCGATGGATGGTGATGCTGCGGCGAAACACGGTGAATGTGTAATGACAGTGTAGTGTAGTGAGTGTGCATATTCCGTGTGTGTGTGTGTCAAACCCTGTTCCTAAGGGTTTCGTTTTTCAAGCAGGGGGATCAGGGACGTTTGGCTTGGCCTGATCCAACGCAGCTCCAGCCATTCGTCAGGATATTCCTGAGGGACGCCTTGGGAACGTACCTGCTTCCAACTTTTGATCAAGCTGTCCAATTTGATCGGTTTGTTTTCATGGTCCTTCATGCTACCACCCCCAAACAGGTTTTCCCGCCGCTGTGCAGCCGCTTCCACTTGCGCTTGCTGTGAAACTCTGGTTAAACAATACTGTTTTCGCTGACCCTTTCACCTTGCGGTTCTTCACCTTCCTTCTCAGCTTGGGAACTGAGCTAACAGAAAACCAATGTCAGAGTGTGCAGGTGATGAGGATGGGGATGGATGAGAACCTCTCTCAAACGGCTTGTGCTGATCGTGTGGATAAGTCATGGGATCCAAAAACCAGTTGGCCAGCAGTGCAGCAACGGGGCATCAAACCCTATTGAGGGGACTACCACCTCGATTATCTAATCCGTCTTCTTTGTTGCATATATGTCTGGCATTATATGGCTGTGAAAATAGAAAGATGACGTCACAGGGAGTCTGTATGGTTTGCTTCCGTTTGGACAGAAGACGTAAAAGCACAAATGCCAACCACTTGGATTGCATTTGCTGGATGAACCCAGGGTGTGTCTGTCTTCAACTGCAACCAGAATTATGACTAACCATGAATCCAGAGTCACCTTCTCAGCCTAAAACCATACCTTTTTTGCATGACAGGCCTCTCACGTCTCGTGTCCACCGGGTCAAATACCGGGTCGAATCGTTCAGCTCCGACCAAGCCACTGGTGAAGAGGTTGGATGGTGTTGGCACGCCACCCTCCTGCAAGACCTCAAATTGCAGATTTGTGTCAACAAATCCAAGATGTTCCACTCACTTCAGGTCACAAAAGCACGGAGGTTGTCCATTTTAAGATGAAAATTGTGATTACATGTCAGAAGGAACTCCAACATGTAGATTTGGCAAAGACATTTGTTTGCATGTTCACTTTTCCGTGTCCACCAGTCACCTGCCACGTTCGAGTGATGGCTTCATAGCCAGCCTGGTGCAATTCCTTCATGATGGCTTGTCGTAGATGATGACTGAAGGAGGCTCCATAGCAACTCAAGACCTTGCAGTGCCACAGGACGCAACCGGCCACCGAACAAGCGTGTGAGGAACACCCAGCCGAGCCAGCCGATCCGGCCACCTGGTTCAACTAGTCTGGACAAATGTCGAAGACTCTCATGACTAGGGTAGAAAACACCTTGAAACACCACTCCAAACTGAGGTCAACCTCCCAGTGCTCTTGCTCGGCGCCAAACAGTGAGCCATGAACTCCATGGGTTGAGTCCAGGAACTCCAATGGTCAGAATGGCACCCCATTGCTCCGGCGACTCCTCCGCTTCGCGCAGCAACGGTACCACCACCTGTGGGCGTGAGACAACCGCAGACAGCCGCGGCGAGAAGTGGGAGGTGAGGGTCGCGAGATCTCAGAGGGGGAGACGTCTGTGAGGTTGGCAGCATCATACCAGGATGGTAAGAGACTTGTCAAGGGAGTTAGGAAAAATAACAATTCAACGCGGAAACATGCGGAAACTGTCCGAAAATGCGTTCGAGCAGCTGCTTTCCCACCCTGTGAACCAAAATACAAACATTCCGCACGGAAGCAGACCATCCTGCCTCGCACTCACGCCTTCGGGGAGCGGCAATCTCCTGCCGTCAGCAATTGGACAGCTCGCACATGTGTTTTTCTGGTCAGTTTGTCCATCTCATACTATACTCACCACTTCTTGATTGCACTTGGTTTCATACTATTCATTGTATAAGCTAATTACTCCATGCAAGAATGAAACTCCAGCTTCACGAAGGCTTCTCTCCTCCTATCCAAAGAACATACCATGAGACACAACAACCTACTCCTCCAAGATTGCTTGAACCCCCCCGAAGACACCTGCTTAACCATCTTCCAGAATGTGCCTGTACAGTTCGTCCCCAAATAACCCGGAGAATCTATTTCCTCAGCACATGGCAGGGCTCCAGTACACGCGTAGCCCGTGCGCTCTGCCGCTGCAGCACTGCTTCAGATCGCAGGAGGACTTGTCGCTGCTGCACTGTCTCTGCATGCGCAGCCTGCGACTCGACGCCACAGCAGGAAGTGGTGCAAGGGGTTGTGCCATCAGGCTCAAAGGTTCAAACAAATGGTATGATGGCACAGCCGCTCATGGAATAGTTCTGTGCGATAGCACAGAGTTGCCTGTGGAGGTCGGGGAAATGATATGATTCTTCTTGCTGGATAGTTCTGTAGTGTTCTGTGCGGTAGCTCCATTAAATTCCTCCATCTGGCACATTTGAGGACAACTACGCAAGTCAGAAAAAAATACAAAACATCTTTTTGAGCTCACATAGTCACAGCGAAACAACTTGTACCTGTCCTGGACCCACAGAATTTACAGAAATGAAAGGATTTCTGAGTTCTGAGCTGACCAAATCAACCCATCCAACCATATCCAAAGCAACCAAGCCAGGACCAATGAACGCGCCCCAGTTGACCGTGGCCTCCAGGCGCTCCAGCGTCTTGGCGGCCCGTTGGAGTTCCGCCTCGGCGGTGGCCACCGCCACGGTGACCTGGCGCGACCCGGTTGGAGGAGGATTCGGCCGCCAGTGGCTGGGGTCTTTGGATCGAAAGAAGATCTCAACTAATATGCCAAACTACCTAAAGTGCATCCCAACTCTCCATTTCTGTGGTGGTTTCTGCGGATTTGGGTGCATCTTTATGGTGAAACCGCCTAAGGAACTGCCCGCAAATGAGGTGGAGCTGTTGCTTCCATCGCATGGCTTAGATGAAAGAGAGCAAGGATTCTCCCAAGTGCCTCAAGGTCCGGGATGGACATCACACGTCAACGAGACCTCGATCTCTCGCCGACTCTCGCCTCTTGTAGCTGAGTGGAGAGGTCTCCCATGCTCTGACGATCATCTTCCATTCCTCGGATGGGATGCCTCCAAACGACTTCCAACAGCCCTAGCAACATGTTTTAGATATTTTACCGCATGGCTCCGAACAAAAAATTAACATACAGTGCTTCCGAAACGCCTCCAGGACATCCTCTAACTGTTCACTTCTTAGAAGATGTCTGTGCTGTTTCTACTCCTCGCAAGCAGAATACCTCCCTACCCTGACCTCCACAAAAGCCTCTTAGATCTTTCCACCACTCCAAGGGGCTCATCAAGACACGATGGCCTCAGAGGGAAGCCACGGTGTTGGGGGCGTTGTTTGGCACCTGTGAAATCCTCGAGTTGGAAGAGTTTTGGAGGCTTTGGGCCGGAGATGGCTAGAGCATTGAGCTACTTTTATGGGAAATAATGGAACATCTGTACATGGTGACCTGAATGGTATCGCTCTGAGACTTCACAGGATGTTCTGGTGCTCGAAGCGTGCCACTTGTGCCACCCAACTGAACCAAGCTGGGATCTATGCTGTCCTCAAAACACACTGAATAGCAGGGAATACCAGTTTGCATGGGACACCGGGAAGCAGCCGGTAGTGGGCAAATACAGCAAAATCCAACACAATCCAGGAGTCAAGTACCACCGACATCCCCAAAGACTCACGTCTGATGCTCCACAGCAAGAGGAACAAACACACAAGCTTACCCATCCTTCCAAGCAACACTCCAAGCGCGCATGGAGCCACTGTGAGAGGCGTGAAGCAGCTGGGCTCATGGACCACAAGTTGGAGGAATGACCTGAACTTCCAGCGCCGTGGTCGTGTGCAGAACGCAACCCACCTGACATGGGGAGGTTCAGAACAGACCCCGGCAACAAACATCCATCAACATCCATCCCAGCAAACGTCCAGCTCGACCCTTTCACGCCATCGATTGGTTGAGTCATATACTGTAGTTGTTTCTTTCCGCGAGGATGCTGTTCTATGGCATTTTTAGGCACTGGGCCGGTTTAGGCATCTCACGTCCATGCATCCTTTTCCAGTCTTCCGATAGAGGCAGAATTTCCTCTGAACACAGTTAGACTTTAACAAATCACATGAACTCTCCTCTAAACCCGACAAAGGCTCTAACAGGAGTGTGGAAAGGAACCTCTACACACAGCTTTTGATTGAGGTCAATTCCACTTCACTGACCAAATGAGAATCCCTCAAACCAGAAGGACAATAGATGCACTGGTTTCTATGGTCCATGGTCACCTTGAGAGGGAAACCCTACACTGCACAACTGGCGTGGCGGAACTGAGTAGATTGCTTGCTGCCGCGGAGCAATCGGGGCTGATGAGGAAGCGCTGCAAGACCTCTGCAAGCCAACCTGTCGTGAGACCCTCAACGAGTTTCGCCGTGGTAGCTGTGCCATTTGGACTGAAATCTGTTGCAATTCAGCTGCACACTGACTGACTCATGGTCTTCCGGTACATGTCATGCCTAAATTTCATAGCAAAAACAGCCCACAGAAACCTAATTCTTCACACTTTCCTCACCTTCCAACACAGACAAGAAGTGACTTTGAATACTTGAGTTATCTTGAGTTCCTTGACCCTCTTGCATGAACCCTATCTGTAAACTCTTCTGTGCCTGGCAGTGGTTGATTCCCATCCCAAGCACTGAAGAAGTCCAAACTCTTGGGCTCTGCCAACAGCTTGGCCCATGCGAAGGTCCTCAGCGGGCGATGCAATACTTGTACGGGCAAGGTATAAGGCAAGTTCATCTGCCGGTCACTTGAAGTGATTTTCGAGAAAACAGCCAACAGGGGCATTTTGCTAGATGATATCTTAATTCCAATAGAATCTCATCCAAGTCATCTCCGACTTCTGTATTCTATGAGATCTTCATCAAACACCATCTGATATCTTCGTCAAGTGTCTCTGAGCGAGTCGGTGGCTTCGAAACCTGCGGTGAGGCCACGCAAACTTCTCCAGTTCACCACGCAAATCAAAGAGACAAGAGAAGTCGAACTTGTTCACTTGACACAAGTAAAAATTAAGGTCTGTAACGTATTTTTGGAGAAGAACCACTTCACAGATGCTTTTTCTTGAAGTCCAGACTGTTTTTTCTGCATGGCGGTAATCTATACTCAGTGCGTGGTATACCTGTTGGATTCCCAGCATCGTCTCCCGCCTTCGGCGTCCCCACCGCCCCGCCGGCCGCCGCCACGGCCGCCATCTGCGCGTGCGACGGGATGGCCATGCGGCGGAAGATGGGCACCTGGCGGAGCACGGGGCGGCACGGAGCGAAGCGAAGCGAAGCTTCCGGGCCGGGGCAAACCAGAAGAAACATAGGTGAAATGGTTTGATGGATGGGATACCGTGGTGTTGTTGTCGGTGTTGAGTTAGTATATGAGTTATATATATATATAGTTATAATGTGATATTTCCAGCCCGAATCAAGGGTTGCATGCTGGATGCTTTGCGCTCACGGACACGAAGAGTTGTTGTAACTACCGAGTTCACAGTACCTGACAGAAGGGACGGTTCAAGCCCTGCAATGGATCTTCCCAGATCGGAGGATCTTCCCAGACCATTTGTGCACCATGATGGCGCAAACAAAACTTGTTCTTGGGAAAGTGACGGGATATAGAGTGGACGCTACTAGGGGCTCCTGGCCTTACTACCAGGAGCAAGGATGCTACTAGGAGCAAACTGGGAAAAATCTCACTGAAGAGCCACTCCCGGACGCCACGAACCACGAGACTTCCCATCACAAAAGCCACGCGCCCCTGATCCGAGTTCAATACAGCGGGTGCGCCCGGCAAACGCATGCTTAAAGATGTCTCGGACTCAACTTAAAAGTCAAAACTATTTATCATATTTATCAACCCCTCATGTCCCTTCCACTTCAATCAACGTGGACAAGTTCAGCACAGGCCCATATCTCAATCTGACACATCTTGATCCTCCCACCAGCAGAGCATCCAGTCTTCAGGTAGCTGAAGCCCATTGTCCATCCCTTCCAATTCCCTTCCACTCAGGGCCACCCCACGTTCAGCTCCTCGGTCTCCTGGTTCGTTCGGTTCATTGAGATTGCTGGTTTGTTCGTGGGAGCACTGACCCGGCCCACACCGAATGCGGAAAACATGGCCAACACTGTCAGGACCTTGGGTCCTACACTCTCTGGGCCTCTGACATGACCATTTTCGGAATACCAAACAGGTGGTTGTCCACTTCCATGATGATTGCAGGGAGTGTACCGCTTTCACATGCAATGTGGGTCAATCATGGGGTGGGTACTTTTATCCTGACATCCGCGGCCAAACATCTTGGTCCTCAAAACATAGACCTCAACATGATGGGTGTTTAACAACGAAGCCTTCAACAACACACCCACGTTGGTTCCAAGTGGTTCTTAGATAGACAGTCTCTTCTGGTTGTCACAGGAGTCATCACCGAAAACTTTGGCTTTCCTGCGGATGACTGCTTGATCACGGATTGTCATCAACTTCCAAGAAATAGAGCTTAGCGTGGGGATCATCGTTCAACAGTTCAACACCCGCCTGTCACCCAGCGGGTCTCCTCTTCGCAAATGTGCAGCAAGACCGCTTTTGCCGCGCCCAGCGCACGCACCAAAGGCACCGGGAGGTGTTGGTATTCCGCGAGCGACTCAAAGTGAGACCTCTCAGGAGAGTCTGAAACGAACATCACTGAGCACCTGTAGGTCGAGTGGCTGTTTCTTGCATTCTATCAACCCTGGAGGCAGTGATGAGAAGCCCACAGGAAGGGAAATCATTGAAACTACCAGTATAGGTAGTAGGCAGTTTCTATCCACCACCTGTTGCCAGTGCCAAACGCGTGCCTTCATGTCCCTAGGCGTTCCTCTAGTGCCTTGCCTCTCGAGCTGCTTGAGCTGCCGCAAGGAGCTGTTCGCTCTGCCCAAGGCCTTCTCCAAGTCATTTCCATGCCTACAAGCCATGAGCGGCCACAGCTTATGCAGAACTTGTCACCCAGAACACCTTCCTTCATGAGACTGGAAAACATAAACTACCACAAAACATGACAAAGCATACATTAGTTGGAGACCTTTAAGCCTTTAAGCAGTCAATGTTCTCTTAGATCTTAGCAATTCCATGCTACTCCTTTTGTCCACCCTGGCAGTTGTGAATTTCCCTGCCTAGCATCCACTGCTGCGATGTGTGACTGGACCACATGTTTCCGCTCTCGGACCTGCCGACCCGTTCTGTGGACCGTTTCGAAAACAAAGGTGCCCATGCGCTACATGTTGGTACAGAGGTGTGAATATGTACCACCATGTCTCTGATTTTTGGAGAGGGATTCGCCCTCATGTCCATGATTTCTTGAGGATTTGCTTGATGAACAAACTGAGAAAGAGAGAGCTGTGGCATAGGAACTTGGTATACCAGCTGAGCACAAAGCAGCTGGAAACCATATGATCCTCCCCCCCAAAAGCGTCCGCCATGCGCTTCGGTCCACCTGTGTCCATTCTAACGCGTGCGGCAGACTCGCGGTCCACGCGCCGTCCGCCTGGCCTTGGCCAAGGAGTGCTTCGCCTGCGTCTGCAGTTCGTGCTCTCGAGCACTTCTGGAGAGCAAGCGACGGGACTCTTCTGCTAAGAGCCTCAAGGACCTCAACGGCCGGGTGGAGCAACACTTGGATCCAGTGTGCAGGCAATTGTAAGAGGTCATTTGACAATTTGAACATGATGAAAGCTATAATATTGATGGTACTAACCCAGCCCAAACTCATCAAAGACTTTAAAACGTGAAGTATCGTGAGGTATGAGACATCTCGTGGTGTAGGACTTCCTTTCACAGGAGGTATGTGGTACTTGCCACTCGAACTTACAGAAAAAGCTGTCCCATACCGATCCTGGGAGACGGCACCCGCTGTCAACTTCCAGGTCTTCTGACCACTACTTACGACTTGGATGAGGGTGTGACTTGGATATCATTCAGTAGCCTTGATCTCCTTTTACTTCAAGCAGAACTGAATTGCCAAGCCAAGGTGTGGATGCCCCTTTGGCAGGAAAAGGCATGCCAAAATGAAAGGCTCATGTTGAAGATGTTCTGCACCCCAGAACATTAGAGTGTGGCTACCTAACAATTGATTGAACAAATTAAACCGTCTTACAACCAACTCATCAACATTTCAGCACACACGATGGGTTCGAAGTGGCTTGGCCGATCTGTCAACGATGAATCGTGTGCTTTTCTGGCAAGCCTCTCCCAAGCTCATCTGCTGGGGATCCGCGCACGTGCATGGACCGGAGCTTGGTATCCAGATCCAGAAGGAACTTCTCCAAGCTCTTCAGTCGATTCCGGACCTGTTAGGATGAACAAACGGACATGACACTCTCACACAAGCAAACATGACCTCTGTGAAAACCAAGCTATGTGTCCTTTGATCTGCGGGATATACGAGCAGGATGGCAAGGACAGTACTCCTGAGTCATCCTTTGGAAGTTTGTCGGGCGCTTTCTTCTCACCAATGACAACGCGTTTATACAAACACTGGGCCTTTGTAAAAGGAGCTTTTATCAATCGCTAGTCGCTAGTGGTTTAGTCGTTTAGTCAAGCTAGCTAATGAAGTCTCATTCAGCGATGCCTTTGGTCCCATAAAACCATCATCATAACTCTTGATTTTTTCTCCACAGGGTTCCCCGCTGCACGGCGGGGTAGCGGGTGGAACTTCTAATGGCAGCTTTAAGACTACCCCACAGTGGTAAGGCTATGCAGATATGGTACCAACTACCAACCTCGATGGGAAAGAAACAGAAACCCTGACTGAACTGCTGGAGGAAGTCTTGCAGGCAACGGTTGGAAGTTCCAAGCGGTGAGCAAGTGTTCATGTGAACGTCATAATACAATAAAATCATCTTCTTTCAGGGCCTTGCATCCACAGTGCACCGAACTCATTCGAACTCGACCATGCCTGGATCATATGCCAGCCAGGCAAAACATCTGTGGCAACCACACATCCCTCAAGCACACCGCCCAAGCTCCCCAAGCCCCGGGACAATTCGGCATTCCCAACGCTTCTGTGGCCCCCCGAGTGGTTCTGCACAGGCGCAGACTCGTGCATGGTCCCACGGTGGTTCTGCACGCTACGGTGGTGCATGGCCAAGCGTGCCTGGGCGGCGGCGATGGTCGTTCCACCAGGTTTCCCCAACCATGTCATGGTCGTTCCGGTTGTTTGGCAAGTCTATGGTCCTGACATAGCCTAAGGTTCAAGGTCTCAAGAAAAAGGGACTCTTGCCGCAACAGAACACATCTAGCAAGCAATGTTCCATGGTTTCTTTTCGCATGGTTTACTCTTGGCAATTACTATTCCTGCTAGTATCCCCAGCTTATTACAGGATTAGCAGGGTTAAGTCTCACGATTTTTCAATCAGCTTAATAGAGATGTTCCTCATGAAGGTCATGCAGGATATTCCAGGGTTCCAAGATGTTCCAAGTGTAGGATCTCCCCAACCAAGTCCGTCCCGCCGTCCGAGCTACGATGGACTGCACGAAGATGGAGAAACGACTGGCCGAGCAGAACTCCAGCGCCACGTCGCGGCCCAGCTCCACCGCCATGACGTCGCCTTGGCGGCGTGGCGCGTCGCAGGGTGTCGCTGGGTGGCGGCCACGTCTGTAGACGAGCTGGAGGCGACTGGAGTGATGTCAAGATCACTTGATGAGAACATTTACACTACCAGGACCTTCAGAAAGTGACCGTCCGACCGAGATCCCAGTTTCCGAGGTCGCGATTGGTCCCTCAAGAGGTCACTTACAGACTTCAAAGACTCAAAGAGGTCACCAACGGCTCAGGGCTCAGGGGTATCAAAATACCAACATCAACCAACGGGAGTTCCGAGTTTTTGTGCGGCGATCCAAGCACTTAAGTAGATACCCCTGCCGAACTTTCCAAGAAGGAAGGGCATGGACTTTCCATGTGGATTTTCCAAACACCTCCAGACCTTCGGGCACCACTCGTCGAACATCCAGACCTTCCACCATGCCCGAGGCGTCCCGAGTCACGAATGCGCAGGTGCAAGGACTCGACAATCCTCGGTCGTCTCCAAACACGGGACTCCCTGATGTAACGCAGGATAAATAGAAGGATGAAGAACCAAAGGATGAACCAAAGATTAGCGATCTCAGGATTCGCTTGGGGTATTTTGTATAATATTGTGTATAATAGTCTGAGGATGTCTGAGGTCACTCTATGCCAGCTGTGAACAACGCAAGACAAGAGCAGAATTTATCTATATACGATACTCCCGAATGTTTTGGTAACTCTGTATAATGTTCTGAGACTTCCTCCATGAATAGTCATGCTGCTGCACATTCTGGATGATGATCCTAATGAGCTACAAAGTCTTGTCGAAAGACACAGTGCTTTGTTGACTGACTAAAGGAACATGGCATGAAATGAACCTTGTCGACTCTGTCAACTTCTTGGGAAGCCTGGTGCAACGTGCTCACGCATGGTGACATGTGCCTGACTCGGCCAAGTCTCTTCGCAAGAGGTATGAAGAGCTGTTGCTGCCAGATCTGTCCATCATCTGTCAAAGGGGGGCTGTGCAGTGAACCACAAAGAGGCCGACATATTGTTCTGGCAAGATACTAGTTACTAACCGTTACTAACCTTTTGGACTATCTCAACACTTTCAATGATAGTTGACCTGTATGGTCCTCTCCTCATTCAACTATCAAGCTACACAGGTTACGGTTACACAGGTTACACCCATTAAAAGAACTGGTTCAATATTAGAGCCACCAAATTAACATTTCACACTGTGACATGTCCACGAAGGAGTGCTTTACCTAGTCCAACCTCTGGTGCTTTCCACCCATGGCCGCGGAACCGGCACGGTTCTCGTCAACGCCCGTGGTGGAGCAACAAGAGGTTCCGTTTGCTGATGACGCAGCCGCAAAGAAAAGGGACGCTCGACACATGAGGCTTCTTGGCTCTTCTTGGTACAGTAACCTTATAATGGATATTTGTGTTGAAAAGGCCATCTTGATAGTGAAAAAGGTTACCTTTCTGACCTTTCACCTCCAAATATGATATCATTATGACACTTGCTGAAGACCAGCCTTTTCGGCTCATGTCGTGCCTAGCTGACAAGAAGTCCGAAGCCTTTCGCGAAACGGCATCTGTTCCTGCCCAAAATCTGGTGCACCAGTCCATTCGTGCCAGTCATGCCATCCCCTGATACGAACTGATTCAGGGATTCAACTTGGTTGGATCGTCGTAGGGTGCCTGTGGTCGTTGGTTTGGCAGTGCTCTTCTTGATGCTGGCACGGGCACCTGGACAAGGGGGCGAATGTGCTTGAAACGAAAGGTGGGTGAGATGGTGGAAGGGTGGAATATGGTGGAACCACTGGTGTTCTTCTTGGGAAAAGGATGGGCACCAAATGGGAAGAGGATTCTTTGGTTCAGTTCAAATTCTTCACCAGGAGGTAGATCCAAGGTTCCATCACAAAATGAACTTTGCGACAAAGAACACATGAGCTGTGTCACGGCTGTGAATGTTCCTCAGTCAATCAAGAAAATCCAGTTTGCCATCTCAATTAAACATGGATGAACATGCAACATTCTTTTTAGATTAGGAGCAAGGACGCTACTAGGGGCTAGGACCCGGCGTTGTCACACCACCTGAGGAAGTGCTGTGAAGTGCTACTAGTAGCTTTTTTGCTCCTAGTAGTAAGGCCATGAGCCCCTAGTAGCGTCCACTCTATATCCCATCATTTTCCCAAAAACAAGTTTTGTTTGCGCCATGATGGTGCACAAATGGTCTGGGAAGATCCTCCGATCTGGGAAGATCCATTGTTCGTGTTTGTGGCAGGTTAGATGAAGCTTCCCCATCCGATCTCAGTCCAACTTCCGGGAGCCGCGCCTTGCACTCCTCGGAAGAAGCCTGGGAAGTAAGTAGCGGTGCCGACGGGGGGCGACTTTCCGCGTACGGTCAACAAATTGGCCGTGGTAGCTTGAAGACGTCCCAATCCAGTAGATGTTCATAGATGTTCTACCTTATTGGCTTTATAGGTGTCGCCACAGGCCCACAAACCGGCGACACTCGAGATGCGCAAACACGCTGCACCAGGCGGCTTTTGTGCATGATCAGCTTCTTCTGTGGCTTGGGCAATGCACCTCAGGGAGGGTGACGCTCAAAAAAAAACGCTGCCTTGCTTGGGAAACGCCTCGGGCGCCAAAACCTTTCAGTTTGGAAGTGCACACCTTTTTGAACCTTTTGGGCCCCATGAATCAAGAGAGAGGGGTGTATCTGTGTGCCCTGAAATCTGACGGTGCTGGTGCCCTGATGTCGGAATGCTTTGCACAAATCGGTCGTAAGTTCTGATGCTTTGTAGCTCCGGGATTGTGGAGATCCCCACACTTGCAGGCGCCATTCTAAGGTTCAGCAACATGTCATAGGAACTTGGATCTTAGAAACTTAGAAACTATAGTGGAAGTGACTTGAGAGAGGTCCACTAGTTTCCCGATCTATAGTGGAACCCTAGAACTAGTGGAACCGCAGGGAGTCCATACAACCCTACTTGCTTTCCTCCCACGGTGTGAGAACTGCATCTTCACACTGCTTTGCGAGAACTCCTTCAAGGCCTTCCAGGTACACCCCGCAGTTCACAAGAGAGTCTCACTCCGAAAGCAGCCTAGAGAGACTGAACTACAGATTTCATTGCTCCACCAATGTTCCAACTGTTCCCAGTTCCCAACAACTCAAATAGAACTTCAACTTCCAAGCAACTCAGCTTCCAAACATCATGTCACCACAAACCCGGCTCAGCCGGAAGGTTTTCTGTTTCATCCGGCTCTTTCCACAAAGATGCCGCTCGAACGTCCTTGTCACGTCCTTGTCACCGCCCAGTGGCTGAGATCGATCCGACTGGTGAGCTTGTTGCCCAGGTACACCAAGGCCACCTGGCGAACGTGGCGTGGTTTCCCGGACGCGGGACGCGGGCGCTCCGTGTGGTTTCCCTGCGTAGTTTCTCCTCTAGACCGGGACGCACGTCTCCTCACACATAAGTTCAAATACCCTAGGCAACCTGGCTGGAGTCGAAACAAGGACACTAGGCAAAATGTCCCAAACTTTTCTCCAAAATAGGGGACACATCTACTAGGAGCAAGAGGACGCTACTAGGAACAAAGGGCATCGCTACTAGGAGCAAGGACGCTACTGGGGGCTCCTGGCCTTGCAAAGGACGCTAGTAAGTATCCTCGGATACACCCAACGCCAGGTGTATACTGAGATTTTCACGGGGAGTTCTTCCATGTTCTTCCCAAAACTACTCTGCCAAGTGAGATTGGGAGTCTCTGAGCCCAAAATCACTTTGAGCAATCAAACGATATTGAGGATATTGACTATCGCCATCATTTTCCAGCCCAGAACTTGACCAACATATTGTTCTATAGACAGATGGGCACTAACTGTCAAAAACGCTTTCAGCTCTTCTCTGTCCCACGCTGTCCCACAAACGAGGCCTGCTGCAAGGACAACGGTGGCAGCACATGAAAGGTTGCCACCTCGGCTCCAGGGCCACCAACTTGGCACAATGAGCAAAAGACACCCACCCACTTCATTGGCTTGCCAGAGCTCATCAGAGCTCCAAATGCGAAGGCCTTTGATGAAACTTAATTACCAGCGTCTTCCGTGAAATCACATCAGTCCTGAATCCCAATCCCACCCAAACTCAAAACTGATTGTTTCAAACATGCCGCCCAAAGAAGGACGTCCTCGTTTCCTTCTTCACCCTCTCCAAGAAGCTAAGGTTTGCCGCAGGAAGCCGCATCGCGTGTAGAGCTCTTGCAACGAGGCCGGCGAACGGCAGATCACCTGGGAGGTTGTTGATTCTAATGCGGCTGTGACGTCGTGGAAAAATGCATTGGGCAGGTGATGTGTGGTGAATTGGTGTGGGAACAGGTATGTGGTACGTGTATAGCAGTATATTGTAATAAGAGTTGACCACTTTAGAGGTGGGATGTACCAGAAACTGGCTGCTGAAAGGCAAAGGCAAAGACGTCTCCATAAGACATCTTGGTCAGTCCCACAGCTGTCATTAATTCTCGATTTCTTGTCGTCTTTAAGTCACTGCGAATAGGTGAATGGGCTAGTTCGGAGTTGCGTTGCAATAGATCCAACCTTCCTGTTAGCCAAAGAACGTGTTGCAATAGATCCAACATCAACTTTGTCTGACAACATAGTACTTCTACAACTCCCAGCTGGCCCACTCCATTGGGATGAACCTTCCAGGTGCAAAACCTACGCAGCACCTTTCCTCCCAGTGGCCACCAATCTCTTCTGTCCTTCTTCCTGAAGCAAGCGGAGGCAAACCACCCGGAGAGTGGGAAAACCAACTACCAGGACCACCAAGACCCACCAGGGCCGCTGTTGCCTGGATACAACAAGCGGTTACAAGAAGTTTCTCCGTGGCCAAACAACTGAACCCACCAATTCCTGCCGAAACCCACCGGCGCTCACCTGCCTATACCACTCACAATTTGCTGACCACAGAAGATAAAAAGCATGCAATATGATGAACGTCTCACGTGCGAGCTCAGTCCAAAAAGCCAAACTACCCCAGTCAAAGCTACAAAAGAATGATGTGTCACTCATCCTGTCTATGTCATATGAGTCATATGTCTTTCCGAAAGTCTTTCAACTCTCTTGTTCACCACCTCATCACATCTCCATCATCCGCTTCCGCTTCCGCTCCTCGACCACCTCGCCGTTCTTGGCGCACACCGGTGTGCGCTCGTCGCCCAAGGCGCCGCCGCCGAGGCGGAAAAAGCGGCGCTGCTCGCGCTCCAGGTAGGCCTCGAGTGGAGTGAAAGCTTGCGGAAATATCGGAAGTAATTTAACAGAATAATACAACATACTTTAACCTAATAATACCTGATAAGGAGGCCAATAGCGATGGCCTCCAACCTAACAGCGATGGCCTCCAACCAAAGAGCGATGGGAACAAATAAAACACATTTGGGGAAACATGTGGCAGGATTGAATCTGGCGTTCATCGGCTTTCGATGGGGTACTGCAAGAGACGTGTTCGCTTTTGGAGGATGTGTCTTTTTTTGGAGGGAGGCCAGGTCTAGGAGAGAACACAAGTATCCTGTTGTCGTGTTGAGACTGAACATATGGGAAGGAAAAGGACTTGGCAAGAAATACAAGGCAACACACACAAACTCACAAGTGGCTTTGGCATGTCGTGTGTTGCACTGCATGGTTGCAAAATAACTACTGCCCCAAAATTCCTATCTAAGCAAAAGCCAACTTAGGTTGATTCGACTGGGCTAAAGTTGGGTATATAGAACAGGCGTTTGAACCGCCTTCTGCGTTTGAAACCGAGCTGGAGATTCGTGTTTTCTGCATCTGCGAAGAACAAAACCTCAGAGGTAACATACTTTGGTTGTATTGCTTTGGTTTCTATTCAATCTGGCCCAACTGTGTCTTGGAAACCATGAGGACCCCGTTCCCCAATGAACCTGCAGCTGGCCTCAGGTGCAGAGGCGGGAAAGTCCTCCTCGCTGATGGTCAGCAAGCGCAAACCGCCCTCCACCTGACAAGATCGAGGGCAATTGGATTCTTCTGTTGTCTCAAAGAGTATGCGGCGGAGCGCGTTGATCTATGCTGGTCTTTGTTTGGTTGATCTTTTTGTATATAATTACTTCTTTAACAAACTGTCATTGCACTTCGGATTTGTCAACCCGAATCATTTTTGTATACTGCGTGTGATCCAAACAATTCTCTTTTGCGCCACATGCATTCCGTCTCCCACCTTCTTTTGTGCTGCCTTCACCTTCTGTGGCTTCCGACGGCTCTGCCTAAAGAGAGGCGCATTGGGAAGCACTTCATCGGTTTGGGGGACAGGTTCGTGATTGGACACAAATCCCGGTCCCTGAAATTGTGTTCCATGATATTCATCAGGAGTTGCAACTGTGTAATTGCGACATATATATGACACTGAAAGTCAAACACTCATGGCTCGAATCGCAAGTGGTGGTTCAATTGAAGATGGTGATCACAATAGTCCTTCCGATTTGAGCAAACCTCTGAAGCACGAAATCTACTCGATTAAGCTGCTGGAATTTTCCAAGTGGAAGGGTTGGCACACCAAACAAATTAGCATTGGAATCGTACACATGTTTCACTTTTTGAAGTTTCCTGGATGTTGCTGTGACCACAATCCATTCAGGTCCATTCGGTGCCAAGTGGCTGTAGCACCACCGGCGTTTTCAGCAGTTCCCGCTCCAGGGACTCCTAGCGATCAGCTGCGATCAGCCATGTCCACAGGAAACCCGGCAGCTGAGGACTCGGCATGTGCCGCTGGACAAGTCTTGACGACAGACCGCAGAAACACAGGAACCAACAAGACTTCATAAGACTAGACTAGTGACTATAGATCATTTTCGGACAACCTAATTAAGACACACACACACACAGAGGTCAGGTCATGTATATCATAAATGTCATGCAAGACTTAAATCCAGGTACTAACAATAGATTCACCGTTTTTGATGATTATAATTGGGGTGAACCCAACGAATACACTTTTGTGTCTTCCACCGGTTTCCCCCACGAGGTCTCTCACCCAATACCACGCCCGGGTCGGGGTCTCCGCCGTCACACCAGTGCAGAAGTGCAGCTCGCCACCGGAGCTCCCTGGGACCGAGCGACGGAGATGATGGGAGAAAACAGTGTGAAAGACAAGTAGTGTGCTTGCTCCTAGTAGTACGGCCAGAAGTAGCATCGTTTCTTGTAGCGATGCCAGGAGCCCCTAGTAGCTTCTTGTTCCTAGTAGTAAGGCACTTGTTACTAGTCGCGATGCACTTGTTCCTAGTAGCTTATTGTTCCTACTAACGTGCTTGCTCCTAGTAGTACGGCCAGAAGCCCCTAGTAGCATCGTTTCTTGTAGCGATGCCAGAAGCCCCTAGTAGCGTCCTTGCTCCTAGTCTCAAGCAAAGAACACATATTTGTTTCTTTTATATACGGCATGGACGGCGTGAGCATGGACCAATCATGGACTTGTACGAATCAGTGATCAGATCAGCTGAGAACAAAATCATGAAAATGGCCATCAGCTTCACTGACGACGCTCACAGCTCTTCTCCCGAAGCCAATCCCAAAGCCCTGCCTGCGAGAAGCTTTCCAGCCAGGCCCAGCAAAGGCAAACTGCCGACACGCGGCGACGGCGGTTCGGCCCTTGAGCCCAGCGTTGGTCGACTCCACCACTCACCAAAAGCGAATCAGCTCTTCAAGTCCTCCTACTCGATGAGAACGGATGAGGAGTAACACCCAAAAAAGAACATCCAACTCTACCTGTATGACTCGCATAGGAGACAAAATCATGCTGGCTCCAAGTGTGGCTATATAGGTGGCCATCATAGCACCCGACCACTGTGGGACCTATAATGGTTTCTATGTAATACATCTTTCTACGATCTGCCCATTTTGGCCCTAATGAATTCTATTCGTGTCGAAAGGACAGGGCATCGCCTAAACCGGTATCCATACATGTTCCGTGCAGGAGCCGGTCGTGGCCCTCCTCACATCCGATTCAGCTGAGAATCTGTGTCCATCCGCCCACCTCAAGCCGGGTGTTTGGACTAACAATCGGCTGACAATCGTTCGAGAACAACCCCATACCCTGTGGTCCAAATGGATGTCAACACCATCCAACTAAGTACATCCTCAGAAGATAGTTCGACAGTCTAAGTTCAGCCTGAAACATTGGCGAAACACGAATAACAACCCATGGCAGTTTTGACGTTTCTGTTTTTTCCTGCACAGCGAAAAAAAACACAAATCGACGGATCGCAAGGACGACTCTTGGGTGTGCCAGGCCGCAAGGCAAGTGATGGGATAGGAAGTTAAGATGTGGCACATCCGCAGCAAGCTACACAAGGTTTGCTCCTCCAAGAGCCACATCCTCAGACGTCGATCCGGTGAGGTCACCGATGGATCGGTTTCCGGGTGGGAAAAAAACCGGATCCGTCCTTTTCCCAAGGTCTGATCATGGGGATGTTTTGGACTGCACGGGGATGGGGATGGAAGAACCAGCCAAGCCTAATCTGCTCCGAACAGAAGCGGACAAGACATGGTTGTTCGGAACACCCAAGGCAGGCGAAGGCAGGGCAGAGGAGCCGAAGCTGCGCCTCTCCTTCGCTTTGAGGGCGCGCCGACGGCCTGTTTATCTGCTGAGCATCAAGGATGCCTCGTTGTCAATGGTCAGAAGCTCCTCTCAACGTTGGCGTACGTGGCGTTGGAGGAATCAGTATGAATCAGCCTTTCTGCAGTCTTCAGTGATAGGCGCTGGAACCGATGACGAACTGCTGAAGGAATTCAGCAAGTTCATTCTGTGCTTGGCCAGGTGCTGAGATGAAGTTTATCGGAAGTCGCCAAGATGTGCAAAAGAAAAGACTATATAATAGGCTTGATTCATTGCTTCAGCGGGTCTCAGATAACTACTTCCATTCGAGTCCCCTTCTCAGCCATTCCAAGGGATGATCTTCATGCTCGCAGTCCTTGCACATGGCCAAAGAGACTGGATCGGGAGCAGCCTCGGAGATTAGATCGGTTTCAATCAAGCCAGTCACTACCTGGAGTTTATGAAAATCCAATGCAAATACTCTACCTCCAACAAGCATTGAAGTGGAAGTTACACCCATAAAAAGGTCCTCTAAGGGGCCATGTTCCACTTCCATATTACACTCCGACTCACTAACATGGAAACCACCCTGTTTGTGGAGGAAAATAGTCTTCCCAAAGGCCATTGTCCGTTTCCATGTCAGTTGGAGGCCAAGCCATGTTAGTTGAGTCGGAGGGTAGTTGGAGGCATGGTAACCCAACAAACAAAGTCAGCCCAACTGATCCACCAAAAGGCCAAAAGCCAAGCACGGCATGCACATCCGCGTTGCATGAGCGAACAAATATGCTGGCGAGCGAAACTCAAAGCATGGTGCATCATCACGAAGCGATTTGCATGTCAACGATCCGACACGAAGCCTGTTCAGTGTCTTCCCCTGTCTGGCTCTTGAACTTCCTGTCGATGCTGAACTCATTGCTATCTCCACCTGGAACACATGGGAGGCTGAACAAACATCAATGTATCGGCTGACACTTCTAAGCTGCTTAAGACCGTTTTGAGCGACAAAAACCGATGTTTTGAGTGACCTGTTTTCCAACTCTCCAACGCTGTGCCTTCGCCTTCTCGTGACGGATGCTCTCGTTCCTCTTCCGAGTCCTGCAAGAGCTCGTGGCCAAACATGGCCAATCCAAGCAATGGAATGCTGAGGACAAGAACATGCTGATGCACGGTAATGGGCATCGAATCTGGCTCATGACGTCATTTCAAACTTCCAAGACTGCAAGCAGGAAATCTATCAAGTGGTCATTTCACCAATCTTAATCATACAATAAACCAATCCTCTGAGGTGAAGGAATATCTCCTTCAAGACAACGGCTTTCATCAGTACATGTGTCTGGCACCAAAGATTCATGGAACAAAAACTCATTTCAATGGGTCTGTAGAAGTTGTCCATATGACCCAAAGATTAGTCTCCGGCAAATAACCCTCCCCAGCTCCTCAAAGTCCAAGCCTTCATCAGACTCCTGCGCAGCTATTTTGAAAACACACTCCCTCACGTTCGTTGCGGTCTAGAGTCTATATAGTAGCCCTTAGCTGATAGATTGTTGATGACTTCCATGACCGGCAAAGCAGGCCTTTTTGGACAATGCTTCCAGCAGAATACTGAATGTGAACTCTTCCAGCACAAACACCGAGCACTGAATCACAGTCTCAGTGGGTTTCAAGTTTTATTCCCCTGCGAGATGGTCTCACTGCAATGGTCTCTGGTCTGTGCTCCTGAGAGGTGTGACTGGGCGTCACCTTCTCCTCTGGAGGCTCTTCCCGCAGACTAACCTGAGGTGAAAGAACAGCAACACCTCAACATTCCAGAAAGAACCCAAAGTTCTTATGTCCTTCTTGAAAAATGACACACGAATTTCCATCATAAGTACGTACTCAGTAAACAACGAACCTGCCACAGGAGTTCGTGTCAAAGTCCAAGTCAGTCATTGAGAGCCTGTGGCCGTCCGGCCAAAAATCCACCGGCCTGTATCACAAAAAGAAGGAGTGAGTGAGGTGACTGAAGTCCTGGGTCCGTCAAAGCCTCTTGTCAAAACTCACTTCTTCGTGGGTCGTTTTCAACGCCCAGGCGCATAGGCATGGCTCCCAATGCGTTTCAGCACGCCGTCACGAGCTTCGGCCTCAGCGAATACCCGAGGCTGGCAGGCTCACCTCGTTAAGTCCGAACAAGCACACCTCGGTGGCGATATCTTCAAGTCACCGAGATCTTTGAGATCTTTCCCTTCCAACTTGTCTTTTTGAATCGTTCTTGGCCCCACCAGCACTCCTTCGAATACCGAGCCACCAGATTCACCCGCCGCAGGCTCCGGACTCCCGGGGTGGCCAACTGCAGGGTGGCCTCGCAGTCGAAGGCACCGGGTCCCGACGGAGGATTTGGCGTGAGGACCGAGCGCGGCGCGGCTCGCGTGACGCACGGAGCGGAGGATCACGGAGGAGATCCCTTTTTCCGACAGATCTGACAGGCGCCTGTTGACAGAGGGAGTCTTTGGTGTCTATAACTGTATCAGGCTGTGTCAAAGGTGGGAGGATCACTCCCGGAATTTTCAGGGTGTTGGATGGGGGGCACGCGGCGAAGCTATGGATGGTGGATATGTTGAACTTTCTAGTTTTGAAGCATCAAGGACTGAGAGGTACTAGGAGCAAGGACGCTACCAGGGGCTCCTCTTACTACTAGTAACAAGAAGCTACTAGGGCTCCTGGCCTTACTGACTACTAGGAGCAAAAACGCTAACAAGAATCTGCTCATCAAGCATGCAAAGTCTTGATCCCTTGCTCCGCCTGGGCTTGACCATCGGAGATCGCCGAGAAGGCCAAGCCTCAGTGGGGCAGGCACGCACACGTTCTGGGCGGAGTTTGCCCTTTCCTTGGCACCAGAACTGAGAACCCAAGGAGTGAAGTTACATGTGACGTATCTCTCGACTGGTCTCTAGCACCCAAAAACCAAGCTTACCAGTCATTGGATCCCCTTCCTAGTGGTCCAAGGACCCAGGATCGTCTAAACACGGAGTGTGAGTTGTGTATATAGGAACTGTTTTCACGGTTGTTGTTGGCAAGAACAAGTTGTTTTTCGAACTCCCAGGTTTTTGGGGGTACAACTTGTTAACTTGTTGTTCAAACTCCTGTCTTTTGGGGGGGGATTTGGGAGTCACAGTTCACTAGATCCCTATAAGATTCTTTTGCGTCGCCTCCCATCCACATTTGACCTCCGCCACCACCCTCATTCACCCATCCTGTCATCTTCCGCTGTCATCTTCCGCTCCTCCCGCTGACGCTTCACATCCAAACGACTGTCCAACTCCAGCGCTTGAAGATCCGAATCCTCCAGGCCGGCCTTCCCACCCAGCAAGAGCCCGAAGTGTCCCGCACAACCTCCGGTCGCTTCAGCTCGATCCGCGGAGGTTTCGGCGCCCCCCGCAAGCCGCGAAGGACTGCCTTCTGTGGGGAACCGGACACTTTGCAAGTCAGCCTATAGAGGTTGCCACCCAACTCCCAACTCCCAACCTGACCAAATGTTGTTGTAAAGATTGACGATATGAATCTAAGAGAACGTAACAAAGTAAGTAAGATGGTCCCAAGTCTTTTGTTTTTGGGTAAGGGATGCTCATCCTCCACCGCAAGACCAGCCTAGACCAGCCTAAAGCCTGGGGCATGTCCACTGGTGCTGGATCAAAAGCAGCCGTGAAACTTCGTGCCACTGCTCCATAGATGCGTCGGCGATGACTGGCAGCTTCCGGCAGGAGCAAGGCATCAAGAACCTGAGGTGTTCAAGGCTGCTGGATCCTTGGAGTCCATCACTACCAGTGACAAAGGGCATCGCCACTAGGAACAAGGACGCTACTAGTAACAAAGGGCATCGCTACTAGGAACAAAGAAGCTACGTTCGTAGCTCCTGGCATCGCTACTAGGAACGGCATTACTACTAGTAGCAAGGACGCTACTGGATCCTTGGATTGGATGGTAGAACTCTCATACTTATGGCCATTAAGAGGTTCTCCCACACTACTTGGAACAAGGATATTGTATCCGCAGGGTTGGTATGGCAGGTGGCGTTCCGGATGTTCCCAATCTCTTTTTCCTTCTTGTTTATCATCTGTCTGACGTTTTGGAGTTTCAATTCCAATCAACTAAACAACTCTTAGGTCGGTTGGCTGGTGCATGCTCTTGAATGTTACAGTGGCCCATGTCCCTTCAGTAGGTTTCTACGTCAAACAAACCATCTGTCTTCATTCGCGGCCCCTAGATTACAAGCAAGGCCCAGCGTGCTCAACTGCATATTAAATAAACCATGACGGATCGCATGCCGCTTTCAACCGCCCGCGTGTCAACCAGGCTGCAGAGGTTCGCATGACGAAGGCCCAAAGGTATCCCACTTCCACTTGGGAATGTAACTCCTGCTTGGAAGTCATGGCTTTGGGGCTTGGAAGGAACGAGCACCACGAACCAAACAGCTTGGGCCAAAACGAAATGATCCGATTCACTGTGGGGCCAAACAGCTGGCACTACCACCCCAAGGGGATGTGCTCCGAAAGACCACCAAAGATGGCTCCTCGATGGGCACGCGTGAGAAAGCATGTGCCACGTCCCAGAACACGCCTTCAGCTTGAGCGCCGCATGGACCCAATGGACCCGAACGACGCAACAGGCGAGAGGTGACGACATGGTTTCCTGAAATACGCGTTTTGGTTGAGCAGGTGTTTTTTGCATGTCAAAACATATATAGAGTCATTATAGATTCTAGGTAAGACAGTGGAATCCTGGTTTCTGTCCTATGGCCAATCTCAACAATACTTTAGTGTCAATGTTGTGTTGCAATTACAAGTGCTTCTTTGTAACTTTTTCGTTGAACAGGTTGTCCGATAGATAGAGAGAGAGAGAGATTCATTGATAGTGTGCAACAACCTCTCCGCCCTTGCAACGAGAAGGGAGTAGCAATCTTTGCTGATGGATGGACCCGGATAACACAACTATATATATATACATATATGAAACATCAGGCCACAACCTGCAGGACATCAGCCGCACCTTTTGCCTCACATGCAGAAACACGTGGTAAGCTGTTCACCAACCCGGTGTCTTTTCAGCCACGCAGCGTGCCATGCCATGGAGACGCTGCTTGGAGGCCAGGTCAGTCTCTGCCCACACCGCCAAGGTCGCCTGGATATGCCGGACAGAGGCCAGTGCGGTGTGATGAAGCACCTCATCCACCCACACACAACCCAATCACTCACAAAGGGCAGGAACATCTCTGTAGGAGGTCAGGCCAAGATTTATATATCTTTGGGGTAGTAAGGAAGTTGTGGCTCAGAATAGATGGGGCTCAAACAGGACCTGCTGGTGATAGACCACAAATTAGGGTCAACACATTTGCCTACACACGTCGGGTGTCGTTTGATTCCAACCTCCATTGCAACACGCACATCGACATGTCTGGTGTCTTCCGATCTCTATCGTGTGAATTTGCCGATGCATAGAACTTTGTTCGATGGATAGGGATCGGTGCAGAAAGTCACTGTGGCACAATTTCACAGCTTCCATCGAGCTCTTGGTATTACAATGGTGACATTGAGTATTTCGAGTGCTTCATCCATCCTAGCAGTCAATGACAAGATTACCAACATCCTTGTTGAACATCAAGTAAATTTGACATGATTTCGGTCAACGCCAGTCCCACCGCCCTGCACCACAGCCTGCAGGAGCTGTGCTGCCAGCTTTTGCCCCGGTGTGTCGATCTGTCAGAGCACTTCGATGAGTTGATCGATTCTCAGCAGCTGAAAACGAAGAGTTTGCTCTTTACAGTTTATAGAAGTGTTCTATGGTAAACTACATCACCAAAATGTAGTTTACTGTGTCTGTCAAACTAGAACTAGTGTCTGTCAAAGTGAAAGTACCGGTAGTATACTGCCATTATCGGTAATTCACAAATAAGAACGTATCGGGCACCTTCAAGACAAGTCTTCTTGCATCTTCTTGCACCACCAGCACCCCTCCCAGTGCCCAAAGGCCTCCACATTTGGATGCAGGCGCATAGGCCAGAAGTTTCGGGTCAGGTTCTGCATCACCTGCCGACACGTTGGTGGATGGTGGTGCTAAAAATAGTGCAAAGCCCAGGAGAATATCAAATGGATAAGGAGGTCAGGAGGCCATTATGTTGGAGGCCATCGCTAGTAGGTTGAAGGCCATTACTACTAGTAACAAGAAACTATGAGTACTAGGTTGGAAGCTACTATGTTGGAGGCCATCGCTAAAAAAAGAAGGATATGGAATAGGTCAGGAGGTGCGCGGTGCGCTTGGAAATTTCAAACACTTCACATGCCCGCTCCCACACGCTGCGCCCGCGCTCTGCGCGGTTTCTCAACCACAAACCAAAGGAGCTCGGTGGGACATGTGGGACATGTGGGACCGGGCCTCCTCAGGAATGCCTGCAGTAAGATTCATCGTGAGAATGGTGGAGAAGATCTTCTGGATACTCGCTTCTGATGGAATCCTGAGTCGCAAAAGAGTAAGCCAGTCCTGCGAAGCGGAGGGTGTTGTGCTGGCTTCAGAGGGCTCACGGACGACCCTTTAATTTTCCTTCAACTATGCTTGGTCTCGGGCCACAGCAAGCGTTTAAGACAAATTCATACAAACGGCAACACAATGAATTATGTTTCCACCTGGCCCCGCATGTAACGCTCAGATCGGAGATCTCATGTGCCACCAGGTATCTCCATGAAGGCCAAGAAGAAGTGTCGTGTGAAGCGCTTGCCTTGAATGAAATTGCCATCCTCTCCAACCAACGGTCCCCCTGTTTCCCCTCCATATGGACAAAAACAACTGAGGTATATTATATGATTATGTGTAAGAACTCTGAACCTTGATGACAGCCTCTGTTCTTTCATAGTCTTTCAAAGGCACCAAGTCCCCAATAGTTCCCCACCACACAAAACACTCGCATGAGCAACAATCACTTGAGTGACTCTTGCAAAGATGTCTATCTGCCTCTGCCTCAGTCGACTTTGGACTCATTCATGTGACAACCCGGCAGTTGAAACATTAAGAACTATATATTTGAATACAGTAATTTCAACTCACACGACTGATCTGAGTTCGTTCATCCTAAACTACAATACTTCTGACATCTTCTGACGAATGACTAAAACAGACGGTGTTCCCAATCAGTGACTCGTCTCACTCAATACCAGAACAACCACCAGGCACCGGAAAAACCCAGCCACCCACGTCGTGACGTTGCTTTTCGGGCCACAGACTTCCAAGGACTGGCTGTTCGGCGCCAGGAGCGACGGTAGGAAGGACACATCTCGGAAGGCCACGAAGTGCCCGTCTTCCATCCGCTTGAATCCTCGAGCGAAGCGAACAGTCGAACGGGCAGTGGGCGGTAGGCTTTACATTGTTTTATATATGGGGACTACAGTAGGGCCGAAAAAGGTCTCCAAATGAAGGTCACCGGTGGAAGGGAAAGCTTGACAACATGATAACAACATCTGTGCTTTTCTTTTGGAGGGTCTTCTCAGTTCTGTCGCCATGTTTGTGTGAGAAAGGTGAGATCAAAGATCAGCCAAACTTCAAATTGGGGACTTCATCTATTATACAAAACAAACATTCACTCTACGTACTTGCTGTGTCAAACATGGGCTTGATGGACAGGTTTAACATGAGCATGCCCTGAGCTGAATATCATGTTCAGCATCAGGAAGCTCCATAGACCTTCCAGGTCTTCAAAGACTCCCAACACAGGTACACCAGTGAAGTGTTTCACCATTGTGAGTCTACATGAGTTTGCTTATAACATCATTCCATCCCCTTTTTGGCCCCCCTGGCTTCTGCTCTCCAAATGGGTCTCCCCGCCCACACTCCCCGTCCACGCTTTACCCGGCTTTCTTCGCTCCTTGCGACTCCAACCCAAAGCGAATCCACTCCCCCAGGCGCGACTGGCCGCTGGATCCTGGCGAAGGACTAGCGATAGCCTCAAACTCCAACCTAGTAACGATCTTGTTACTAGTAGAACACCCTAGCTACTAGTAGCGTTCTTGCTACTATAGTAATGCCAGGAGCTAGCTACTAGCTTCTTGTTAGTAGCGGCCTCCAACCTACTAGCGGGGCTGAGGTCGTTTTTCCTCTCTTCGAAACTCTCGGCCGGCGGACTGCACCACCGGAACTCCCCGCGGTACTGGCCCTGCCTGGCCCTCGGTACTGTGAGCTCACCTCAAAGCGCGAGCGGAAGGTCCGGGGAAGTCTGGTGGATGACGAGTTACCCCATGGATTCGATGCTTCGAAGCCAATCAGCAGTGGCGGTGAAGCAACTTTCACAACTATATATAGACAACACCAACCTAGTGGTTGTCTTTTGGACACTACGAGCCCAATGCTAATGCATCCTGATGGTATTGGTTTATCCAAGCCTTCCCATTCATCTTGGCCGTTGGCCTTAAGAACGAATAATCCTGAACGATAGATGGCTTCAAGAACTAAAAGACCCAGTGCTCAAATCCCTCCCTGCTGATATTAACTGCAATTTATTGGGCCTGAGTCCGCATCCAGAGATATATTTACACAAATCTGCCAAGGTTCATGGAACATCATGGAACATGAATTGGCAAACCACCAGGTCCGGTGGTAGTTCGCTCGTATTCTATAGGCGAATAAGCTTGGCACTCACTTCCCGTGCGGTTGCAGGGCCTCACCGGCCCCTCCTTTCTCTCATGGAGCGGCTGAGCGGCTGCTTGAAGTCGCCAAGAAGTTGTTGCGATGGAGCTGAGATGAAGATCCTCAACGGCCACCGGCCATGGCCATGGAGGAGGATCCAAGGACCCGCGATCCCCCTGTTGCGAAGCCGGCAACAACCGAAGCAGCGTTTTGCTTTGTCTTTTTCTGTTCACCGTGTGTGTTCTTTAATAGGCTCAACGCACAAAAAACACACCCCACTCAAGCTAACCCCAGCAGTCCATTCCAACCGGGATCCCATCAGTCCATATCCAACAAATTTATCTTTATCAAACATTAATAGTTTCATATTTTTCCTTCACATCTTCAAGATCTTTTAGGCATCCGGGAGCCACCAGAGAGTGGAGTCCTCCCCTCTTCTCTCCGAGTTGCGTCGATGAAGACCACCAGGCGCTTCTCATTTCCAGGGGCCAACACACCCGCGATGCCCTGATCCAGACTGATCCGCGATGTGAAAAGATTACTTTTTCCTGGGGTCATCTTCCCATCTATAAATAGCAATCTTTCTTGCGCACCACTGCCTGCTTGGCCTTCATTGCTGCCAAAAGATCTTCGTAAATTCCGAACTGGATCTCACTGTTGGGACGCAGGTCCGATGTGCCGATCAACGAAAAACTGATTCACTTCACAGGCAACGAATGACAATGGCCCAAAAAGGCTGGTTGCAAGTCGTACCCTGAGCGCAGCCATGAGCGCAGCCATGCGTGCCTGCTCGGAGAGGTTAAGTGTCAATGCTTGTTGCAGCTCCTCAGGGCCCAGATCCGGGCACGTCCGCAGTAGCCCTGCCTCGGACAACGAAAGCCTTTTCAGATGGCGAAAATTCATCTGGTTTGAGGAAAGGAAAGATAGCTCAAGCTCACTTAAACTAGCTCAAGCTCACCTATCCCCAAATATCCCCAACTGCCTCTCATCTTCGTAGAGAAAGCACGACTTGAGTCGCTCAAGTTTGATCACGACTCACGCTTGGAGCTTGCCAAAAGATCCCAGTGGCAGTGGATGGAGATTTGCAGCCATGCAAATATCCTTGGTTCGCATCACCGGACCTTCACAAGACACCTTCCGAGACCAGAAATCAACTGACAAGTGTTGCTCAGAAATCACCTGCAATTGGTGTTTAATGATGTTTAAAGTATTGCTTAGTGCTCCTGTACCTATAGGTAACTAAAATCAAACTCGAGTTCACTCGCTCACGTACCCTGAGCGAGAATAGTTTGATCATCCACATGGGCATGACAGGGATATCAACCACTCACCTTTGGAATCTATCCAAACTCCAATGCATGAATCAGAAAACATCAAGGCGCCACCGACGCCCCTTGGGAATCGGCTTTTGAAACTCTAGGTTACCATACATATCATACACGTTCCCACACAGTCAATCCTGTTATTGTTCCCGATCTTGAGTCAGTCTCATCACTTTTCGATCGGAGCATGTGCTTGTGGGTACCATGTTATCGCGCATCATCGATTTTGAGGTACTTCGGTCCATCCCAAACGCAGTAGAACCATATAGAACCCACACATTGCACCATTTGTCGATTCATCACTCACGAGAAACACCTGCGACATTTCAAGCCCCTGATCGATCTGGAGTGTACCGTGCCCATGTCACCCGGTCTCTACGGACGTAGAGACTGTGCCGGTCCAAGGCTCGCAGTAGAGCGGACTTCCCGCTGCCCGCGGTGCCCGCCAGCAGCACCGGAGCGTTGATCGCCAGCAAGCGACGGAGCCGCAACTGGAAGGCGACCTGAAATCGCAGGAGAAGCGGTTTCCCACTGACCCGCGTGCTTCGCACGGCGTTCACGGCAGGGTGGAGTCTTGCTGAGGCTTGGAGTCTTGGAAGGTGGTGGTGGTGGTGATTGGAGAGGAAAGGCGGCGTGAGACACAATTGTCTAGCACGTTCGGTGGCGCCGAGGCACAAATTCTTCCGTGGCGACGCCTCGGCTTGTTCAAGCGACGCTTGAGGCCATCAGAAGTGCTTCCATTTTGCCTGTTGGCTCTCAAAGAGGAAAAGAAAAAAACATTGATCTTCCAAACCACGCCATGTGGATGTTGTTTTGATTCAGATTTAGATGATTTACGTAAGAATCGCCCAAAGAATCCAACAGTCATATCTCTCTCTCTCTCTCCCTGGGCGCTCTGCTCTGCTCTGCATTCCCCCACTCTCCCATTCCCCCATTCCACGCGGTCCAAGCACAAATGTTGTGAGCTTCCAAAATGGGCTCCGTCAAGTGGACCATCTTCCCCACCGCCTGAAATTGCCCCGTGCGGGAGTCCTGCAGACCCGCGACTCCGCGCGTTGTTTTCAAGTCGTTGTAGTTAGAACTGAGGGACGGACGCTGGGTGGATGGGCGGCATTACTAAACCAACTATGGAAAATATCATCGGCTGAAGATGAGACTGGAAAAATTGCGAAGCCGTCTGCTAGTTGGTGAAGGTGTATAGGTTTCTGGTGCAACCACTCGAAGGCACAAGAGATGCAGGTGCATGAACAAACTTTTGCGCATAGGTCAACATGTCTTGTTTGCACTTTGCTGCACCAATGTTGAGACCCCAGGTTCTGAGCTTTCTGCACATAGCCAATTGCTCCACAGTTCTTGGAATGGGGTTCAATAAGCATAGAATTCATATGACTATATGACGGTGCCATCATCCTTTTGTGGCCTTTCCTAATCCCAACAGCTGCCGGCAGGTCACCTAAACAAATATCGGCACCACACATCCTATGGTGATGAACCCTTTTCTTGAACGCCGACGGTTCACTGCAACCCATCACTTCCGGGTCCAGGTAGAGGTCGTAGAGCGGAGGGAAAGTGATGGCATGCACTGGATCCAGAACGTTCTCTCGAATGTACTTCTCAAAGCGTGGCCTGGCCAGTTGACCATGAGACACATCACTGGAGCCACAGCAGCGCTTTACGGGCCTTGGAAGAGGCCACATGGAACCTTGACACTGACCGTCTTTACATAGGACATCAAGTTTAAGGGGGTGTTATTTTCAGGTTGAAGATGTTGGTCTTTAAAGGCTTAAGCAGCAGTCCAGCCAACCCACCCCTTTTGAGGGTTCCTGGCCTATCCACCACATCTCTCCTGACCAGGACCCCCCCACTGTGAGGATTGCCCAGGCCTTTGATAGGTGAATAAGGAGGCGCCGAAAGCGCTGATGGAAGACATCCCGATGAGCAACCGCACCTCTCGTTCCAAGGCTTCCTGACCTTGCGACGTTTCGACGCGTCCACCGGCAGAACGTCCGGATCCAGTCATCCGGTGTCCTCCTTGTCTTTTGGTTTTGAGGAGCTGTGGAAGGGACGGGTTTCATTTCGAGCAGTGTCAAAGACATGATCTATACATCCGAAGTGAGACCAGGCCTTCCTCAGTGGCAGCCAGCAACTGCTTCTCCACCACAGGATCCACCAGCAAGGAGGTGAAGCAGGACAAAAAGCACGTGGTCCTTGAGCCGAGCAAGCCAAGTGTCACATTGCCGGTCAGAGAGATGATGTGTACACCCGAAAGCAGACTTAATGACTCGAAGATATATGGATCCTTTATAGCTCACATTAGCTCACCCACTGGCTTCAAGTAATATCTCCCTTCAGCCTTTTGAACTTATTAGAGTCTGTCTTAGGGAGGGAGGTCCCAGATCTTCTGGATAGAATCCACCAGGCCTTGGGGCCTATGGAGGTCCCACTCCGAGTCCAGGAGCTGCTGCCTCTCGAGAAACACATCAACCCGCCCTTTTCTCCCGAGGCTCTGCTGATGTCGATAGTCCAAGGCCTCACCTTGGCGAGGCAAAATCGCTACCGCTGGCATTCCGCAAGCGTCGCTCAGTCGTGATTGCGTGATCCAAACATTTTGGGATGCCGAAAAATCGTAGTTGGATCTGGAACTTTGGAATCCTATCATTATCCATCAATCACACTACTTGTCGCATCTTGTCGCTGCACACCAATTTCATGAGATCCTCCTTGTCTTCTTGAGATGTTTCCCTCTTGGCTCTTTCCCTTCCGATATACACCACAGCGGGCGGCCCCCATCCACAATCCCACGTAGTTACACGGGTCGTGGTCGTTTCAGAAGGTTGCATTAACCGGTTGCATAGAGGCCATGCTGATGTCATGAACATCTTACAGCTTACACAAATAATATAGATCAGCTTTCCTTCAGAAGCAAATGTTCACATTCCTTGCTCCACATTCCATTGCGCCTTATCTCTGCCGTTGCGCCTTCGGTGGCTGCCGCAGAGATCTCGGAGGGGTTGAAGTGAAAGTAGTAGAGCACGAAGGCCAAAATGCTGTCCTGAGCTGGTCACACGGTGAATGGTGACACCTGAGCTGAGTCTTGAGAACCCCCCGGCTATAGGTCCCTTGAGTGTTGAGAACATGGGAGGAGAAACCCCGAACCAAGATTGTTGCTTTTCTTTAAGGTGAGACCTGACCCATTTGACATGGTAGCTTTGTAGAAAACACGTTAAACTTTAAAAAACCGCAGGTGGAAGGGAGAACAACAACATATTCGGAATCAAGAGTCCATGAGGTGCATCAGTAGCTCCTTGGTCAACTCCAGAAATTTGGCATACTCCGGGCAAGTCAGCACAAACCTGCGCCAGGTTGGAGAAGGACACCTCCTTTCGACTCAAACCAAGTTGTACCAGGGCTGGGACCTAAAGATGTCGTGAACAGTAAGATGCCGCAGGCACAGCTAACCAAACCTGACACCCCTACAAAAAATAAACGCGCCATGCCTTTGGCCTGGCTCCAAAAAGAGCTGCACATCTACCGACCTTGGGGGGCTTTTCTTTTGGCACACCGCACGCTCCCACCACACACCGGATGAGGCACACTGCACACTGCTCCCGGCCTGTGGACCCAGGCCATGGCCCGATCCTTCCAGGTGGGTCCCCTTTCGGTATCGATGTAGGTCACCGCCAGACTCGAGGCCTTTCCGCGCTGCGTCCGGTGCGGGCAAAGCGAGGTTTCGGAGGTTTCGGCCAATGCGTAGTCGGGTGACAAAGGGGTGACAGGGACCGGGGGACTGAGGTGTAATGTCATAAGAACGGTCTTTGAACACACAGTTTGGCCGATGAAGTTTCTACTAGCGTTCTTGTTACTACTAGTAAGGCACCTGTTACTACTAGGCAGGAAGCACACAGTTCGGCTGACTTTGGTCGGCTCATGCGAACGCTCATGCGCTCGTGGACGACGCATCTTTGTCGTTCAGGTCGGCTGAGGGCCCCACCGTTGCTGGCGAGAGCCGTGCCAGGTAGTCCGTCTCAACCTTGCACGTGCCGAGGTGCCGAGGCCGTACTGCTTTGTCAAGGAAAACGAATGGATTCAAAGAAATCATAGCACCCACTACAGCACCCATCAACTAAGCTTGCGAAGGTGTGGAGTGGTTTGAAAGTTTGACATTGTTTGACGTGGTCCTTGTCGAATAGTTGATAGATGCAGCAGCAATCCATCACAGTCATATCCCTCTCTCCTGCCAAGTTCGAAAATCCCACGCCTCACACCTTTGCCTTGAACCCTTGAACCCCAGAAATTGGAGCATTTCCACACGACTCTCGATCCATCTCGATACCCCCTTCTGTTCGATCCCCCCTTCCTGGCATCCGGGCAATGATCCGATATGCGCGGGTCTTGGGCAGGTAGGGCTTGTTCTGACCCATGATGCTGAGCGGCATTGCCCCGGCCACCGACTGACACAGCGAAGAGGAGGAAAGCACAGCGCTGCGGAAGAGCACACACGCGGTGGAAAGCTAAGGGCTCTGAGAAGAGAAATTCAGCTTTTTTCTCCATGTTTGGTGCAAATGAAACATCATGAAGCATTAATTTGCAACCACATCATATTGTCGCTGTTCAAACCTCCTTGAAATAATCAACTTCAAGTCATTATCATCTATGTGGAAGTTGAAGGAACAAACGAATTCTGAGTCTAACCCGACTGCAAAACTGATGATAAAAACATGTATATCTTCCCTTGTGCGGCATGGCCTCAAACAACTCAGGGTTCATCGGGCCATCCAAGGTCAACCAAATGTCTTCTCGCGACCTCGAGGGTTGGAGGCCATCGCTACTAGGGTGGAGGCCATTACTACTAGTAACAAGAAGCTACGAACGTAGCTAGAAGCTATTAGGTTGCTACGATAGACGTTTGCAACTCGGATCTTCGGCTTCTCTGGCACATGGGCAAATGCAAATTGGTGGCTTCCAAAGACATCCTTTCAACTTGAACATCGCATGACTTCTACAGTATGAGATGGGCAAGCAGTGGTTTCCAAAAGACAGAGGTATCTAAGCTGGCTAATACCATTTATACCTTATAGACAGACGATTATACTTGTTGATCACAAGGAATTGAATCTTGCACGTGTCACTTTGTATGCACTTGCAAACATCATGGGTATAGTCAGTCTGCAAAGAATGCATATACACAGTCTGCTTGAGGTCTTGCTCATACCCAAGCTTGTTGACGTTTCGATGGTCAGCACTAGTCCAAGGCGCTTCTCGTCTTGCTCTTCAGTTCTCCTGGCAAACGGTTCCATGGCAAGGTTCATTCCATACCAGAACATTAGACTCTGGAAGAATCATCTTCTCTCAACACCACCCGAAGTCTATAGATTTCCTATCATTTCCTAATATACTGCCATTCGCCACCAAGCGCCACCAAGCGCCACCGCGCCTCTTCCGCTGGGCCTCCGCCGCCGCGCGCGACACCACCAGTAGGGCGTCTTCCACGTCGTGAGCCAAGGTGTTGATACCTCGTTGAAGCGTCCAGAAGTCGAAAGCAACGGATGCAAATAAAACGTCTCAACGCGAAAAAAAAATCATTGTGCATCACCTCCAGGTACATTCAAAACTATTCTATTCTTAGTGGTTTCAAGAGAGACCAAGACCAGTGGGTCGACGATTTCTCTTTTTATTGCACCCATCTTTATGCCATTGGCCCACATCAAAAGACCTGTTTTGGTATCCCAAGGCGTCGCCGATTCCATTCCCCCATGGGGGGCATGTCCTGTCGCTTTCTGAACACTCTGAGGGTCGTCACATTTCGTCACCAACCGGCGAATCATCCATCGTACCTTCCTCGTCTCTCCTCTCAGCTGCTTCTTTGGCTTACAACGATCCACAATATATTCCCTGCTCCTCTCGCTGTGAGTATATTTAGCCTGATATTTAATATAACCACTACTCAGATCCGTAATACCGTCACACTGGCTCTTCCAAGCCATCATCATGAGCTGGGGCACGCATGAGTTTCACCTTGGGAAACAAGGGCTGTCCCAGGTCATCGGGGAAGTCTTCAGCCGCCTCCAACCTCGGACCACGCGAAGCGCGACCCGCGTTGCTTCGCAACTTCGCACGTCCATCCGAAGGATTGCCAGGACCATCCGAAAAAGCCAAAGGGGAATGAACCATCCGTAGTTAGTTAAGGGTGTCCAGTTTTGAAGATTCCTAAGTGGGCTAGGCTAGGTAGTCCAGCCACTTCACCCAAAGAGGATTGTCGGCGGATTTGACAGATGAGAGTTTTTTCCATCGATGTTTGGGAACTCCTGGCAGAGACGGACAGCGAAGGTAGGCTCCGAATGTGTTGATTCTTTCCACCCAAAGCATTGGAAGACCAAACTTCTCGAGCAAGCAAAACAACCTTTGAGGCCATGCGGGTGTGGAATCTGGAGCAAATTCCAACCTTTTCTGGCCGCGTCATTCTATTTCTACATGAGATATAATGACAAGTAGATTTCATCGGCAGAAAAGAGAGAAACAAACACACAACATTTCCCTTCCACGAAGGCCCCAAATGCTATGTGGACGGCCAGGACACATGGTCATGATGCAATCGGTTTTGCCTGCGCCAGCTTCTCCCACCACGGCCTCAATTGTCGGCTTCACGCCTGGACCAATTCCGAAACGTACTTGTGACGGTTCTATGGCAAGCTTCTCTTAGATTGAACAGATTGAAGTCGCTTATCATCCAGAACACTTACTTAGACTTACAGTTACAAGAACTTGAGCATCCTCAGCCGCAGCCCCTGACTATTTCTGGTGGAACATCACAGAAATCATTCTAAATCCACTTCCCACCCAGATCCCCCAGGTCATCTAGAATCTAGCAGTATCTGCTGTCTGGGCACCACGTCCCGATCGTTCAAGAGCGCTTGGGTGGTGGCGATGCATTTCTGGACCACCATGGGATTGTAGAAGTCGAAGGAGAACTTCTGACCTCCCGAAAGGTCGGTCAAATAACAAGCCGTCTGTCCGTCTTCAAAATGACCAGCTTCCGGGTTGAAATAAATGAACCTTTGACAGCTTCACTAGCTTGTATCTCCAGGCTCAGATTGAAAAACAAAACATAACAAACCACAAATATCAAAGAAATATGTTGGCTAAAAGGCGAAGCGTGTCAGCAATCCGGATGTAAAAGCGCGTGGAGAGGTCTTTCTTGGCCACACGTTGTGCCATCAGCGTGTCATTGAAGAGATTCCTTGGGTTGCATGTGGAAGGCCAGCCGCTGGCTGTCATCAAGTCTTTGACATGTGGGGCGCCTTCAATCAACAAGCATCAGAAAATCCCAGGCCCACTGGGGCTCGAGTGTTGAAAGCAGCAAGATCATGCAAATGGAAAAGACATGAAAAGACCTGTCTGCTTTGAAAAACACCAGCTACCTCTCCCGCAAACTGAAAGTCACTGTCTATCAAATGTCCCACGACGTCATGTCCGGACCGTCTCCCATTTCTGTTTGACCGACGCACCCCCAACCGAGTCCCCAACGGTCGAAGCTCCGTTCCATCCGGGGCACTGCCGAAAGGCTTGCTGGTGCACTTCGAAATGCGCGGATCGGCTGAAGCTCATCACCTCCGTGCGCGGATGAGTTGGTTCCGGAACGCTTCACACCACGGTGCAGCTGCAGCAACAGAACAAAGGAGTGTGACATTGTCGTTGTAACCAATCATGGCATTCTGGTCCTTCACTGGTCAACCCTCAACACCGAATTACTCGTGAGTTTTTGATAAATGCGAATGTGACATCTTACAAGACACAAATCTGGTGTACAGATTGAATACACTCTTCAATTTTGACCCATAGAATAACATGTTCTTAGTTCTTAATATATCCACCAGTCATTGCCTATACTTCGAGAGTGTTCAATGGTGAACTTCAGGTTGGTCAAACAGAAACTAAACATTTATCGCCAACCCAAAGGCTGTGCTGTTCCACTCAGAAGTCATTGTTGCTATCACCTAAGACCTATGACCTGTAGTCAGTTTTATGAAACAAATGCGCACTTCACCCCCAAATCACAAGGGATTCCACTGAGTTTGACGTTCTCCAGGCTGAAACTCTCCTCTCTCCTGAAAAATGCCATCTACCCGTGGACAACCCGTCGTTGTGCGGTGTGGTCGTCGTTTTGGCGTCGTCCAGCGCACCGTGCAGCGCCAAAGCATCTCTCGTTCAGGACCTGCATCCAGCTGCGTGCCGATGGCACACCTCAGCTCGACGTTGGCGAAACAGTGCGAAACAAAGGACAATGCAAGAGTCCGAAGGCTCCTATAGACTGCTTGATTTGATGCAAAACGCTCCTACCTATAACTCAAGCAGCGCTATACAGCCGCCATACAAACTGTTGACAACCTCCAATAGACGAAGGTTTTGCATGCCCATTGGTCATCTATGAATCTATCCCCCCAAAAGCATCCAAGAGCTGAAGATCTAGAGATCCACACGCCAGAGCGGATGAATGTCATCCCTGCCAAGTCACAGCCATGCTTCGCACAGGATCTGCTCATCAAGCTCTTTCGTCCCACGTTCCACGTCTTGACTCTTGTGCGCCTCGAGAAGCGGCCAAGACCCTTCGAAAGCATCAAAAGTCGTTTGGTGCCGGGGAAATCCGCTTTCCCAATTTCGGACAGATCGATGATGGGCAGATTCATTTTGGATGATGTCTTTCACACCACCCAATTGCAGTCCAAAGAAGCTGAACAACGGTTTCGGCCTGTATGTTTTATGTACCTTTAGTAAACATGTCTCCAAAACTATCAAACCCTGGGCTGATTACCACCTTAGCATGAGGACAACTTCGAAGTAGAGGGTGGACACTTGCCGCTTCCTTTCACTTCAGTATACTTCTACGTGGCCCAGGTGAATCAGTGATTCTGTTCCTGTGGTTCATACAAGTGACCACGAGGTGTCCTGAAATAGTAGAAGTAGCTGTGTTCATTCTCGCACAAACTCCACCTACTTCAACATACTGTACTTCAACCCAAACGTGAGAAGAACACTACAATAGTATCCGGAATACACATTGGATACTACTAACCTAATCACTCTCAAACTAACTGGTTCACCCTTAGGGCTCCTGATCAACCCTTGTGACTCTGACATCCGACGCCAAGGCCAAGGAGCTCTTCGCAGCGAGGCGGCAAAGGCGCAAATGGAGCGGATCTCGCCGGGGCCGATGTGGGGATGTCCTTGGACAATTCCAACGGTTAATGGCTGGGTATGTCATGGTATGTCTATATACCTGGGTATGGACTGATATGTCTATAGTCTATATACTATATCTAGATACAGACAGGTAGAGAGAGAGAGAGACCTCTTTGGGTAGACGGGTCGATGTTCTGAACCTTTTTTCAAGGGTCGGTGGACTGGGAGGTCTTCCTGGAACTCGAGCTGCAGAAAATGCGTTCATTGCCTCGAAAAAACTTTGGAAAAACTCTCTTTCGGCTCTTTCGATGTGCACAGTGTAACAAAGCGCAAACTTTAAAAGAAAAACCTACAGTAACTCTGGTGTTGACATGTGTTGACCCCCCAATCAGACTCTCAAGTGTGGAAAGAGTTGTGGTGTGGCAAACTGTCATTCCAGTTGACCTGAGAAGATTGTTCACATCCCACAGTGATCAAGAAAACGGGCTATTGACACTAAGACTAAGACACTATGTATCTAACGGGTTTGGGTGTTTTGTTCTGTTCAAGCTTCAGTGATTCACAGGACGACCAAGAGAGCTCCATGTCACATGTCCAACACCTCCAAGCAAATATATTCTTCTACACGTGTTGTCGATAATAAGCTAAAGAGTATGAACACAAAAATACAAACTGACGACTCAAGAGTTTCAATCAAGGGGAACATTGATTATCTTCGTCCACCTGGCGCGGAAACCACCACGGACCTCCAAACGCGCTCCGTTCTCGCCATTTCTCGCCCGAGGCACGGCCTTTGCGCCCGGTGGACTTGGAGGCTTCGCTGAAGGTGTTGAAGGCCGACACGGCCCCGGTCCTCGGTGGAGACGGGGCGATGGGGATAGAGGGGGTGATATGGGGATGGGGAGAGAGGTCCATTTTTTGTTTTTTTCGGGTGAGCTCTTTCCATACTGAAGCAACCAGTGGCAGTGGGGAGGCCCACCCAAAGGATAGATTTGGTCCAAATCCGATTTCGCCCAGTGGCAGCATTCGAGCCGCGTCCATGTCCAAAATGCCGATGCGGATCAAGCCGGCGTGAATGTAGAGCCTCACATCGTTCAAGGATGCTCCCAGTGAAACGAGGGTAGATTTGTTCGAATTCATATATTGGCAGAAACGCAAACACAGCTTCTGGGCACACTGAGAGGGCACCAGCCAATGTTTGCCTTCGCACTGGACATGGTCCAGAAACATGACCATAATGGGTGACAAATTGGATGCGTGAACGTCAAAACCAATTGGATTGGTGAGCTTCCGTTTGACAAACAGTCCAAATCCTCGGGGGCACATTACTTTCATGGGCCAAACCAAAGCTATTGAGGCCCTAACAAGGCCTTTTATATTGCCCTCTCTTATAGAGATCCTATTAAAGGTGTAGCCAAGAGGTAGCAATGTCCCATCTTGACCATTAATCGGCCCAATGCAGAAAGAACCATCACAACTCCCCCCGCACACCCCCTCAACCATCCCGTGATTGATTGGAAAGAGGTTCTATCACTATCTGTCATAAGGTTCGATCATTTACAGTATGTCCATCCGTGATCCATCAGTGTGGTACTTTGAGGGAATGAGGGCTCTTCACGATCAGCAAAAGAGCATTCAGAAAAGACTCTTGGATGCGACTTGTCATGTCTCAAAGCATCACACTAAAACAGAACAAACCGCAACATAACGCAACTAAAACCATCCTCCTTTGCAGTATCCCATCCTGAGCCGGCCAAGGCACGTAAGATCGGCCGGTGGGAAGGAGAGGTTCCGCAAGACGCACCAGGACGTGGTGGTTTCTCCCACCGCGGGGGGCGCCACAAAGAGAGCCACCGCCGGATGCATCGTCCTCGACTGAAAAAGGCTCAAGTGTGACCTGATGCCCAGGCCTAGCCAGCCCAAAGAGAGACAAGCTGTACAAGACAAACTTCGGCCCTCCGGTTGTCTTGAAAGGAAAAGACACATCATAAATAGGGCCCTATAGGGATCCAAACACCTTCTCAGAAGGTATATAGAGCAAGCCATAGGGTAATACAGTATATACATCAAACATCACAGCAACCAGCTCCAGCGTTTCCAACAGAATCACACCATGACTTCTGAACACACAGGCCCAGAGAGGGCCCTCCTGGGAATGCCACCGAAGATCTCCGCCTGTGTCGTTCTTTGCGTGGATTGCGTCTCGTGGGCATATGTCAATCCCATGTGAATCCATAGGATTTGATGCGGTGCCTTAATAAAACGACGGGCTCTGTGGAAAGGATTATACGACATTTTGCGGGTCATGAGCCTATTGCCTACTGCCCAAGTAGCTCTCCCCTCACTTCATACACTGTCGAAGGTGATGTCACATACCAAAACACTATCACGACTGGTCCACTATTATCATCAGCTAAATACTCTTCACCTATCCGCTTCTCTTCAGACTCGAACCACAAATCCACCGCCTTTGACCCGACTGAAAAACCGGGCTGCCGGCCACCGCCACCGGGGTCCGTCCGGGTTGCTCCGTCCGGCCTTGACCTCGAAGTCCAAGGAGCTCGTGCCTGGAGCGAGGCCGCGAAGCATCGCGAAGCCGGGACGCGGACCAGGGTGCTCGGGTTTTCGAACAAATCATGGTGAATCCTGATTTTGGTGGTTGGTTTCTATTTTCTGGAGGGATTTTAGATGAGATATCAGTCTTCAATGCTTGGTGAGTACACGGCGACAGCTAAATATGGTAGATGTCGAATGAAATTTGGCAATCCTCTTGAAACCACAGGTTGCCATTTTGGGTGTATGTACACATGCATGGTGACTACAGCGGAATTCTCACCAAACGCTATACTTCCACGTGGTCCCAAACGCTACAAACTGAGCCTCCGCGCTTTGAGTACGCTGCCTCGCCGGACAGGACTGGGACCGTGCCACTGGCAGCTCAGCCTGATGGAAGCAGCCGGCTGTCCCCATCCGGAGTGGTGTCTGACGCAAAAGGCTTCTGCTTCAACCGAATGCTGCACAAATCAGGAGAAATGCATCAGAGTTTTTGAGGCGGATGACAATTTGTTAGCTAATCTTAAACAATAGCGAGTCATCTATACCTGCCGTCGAATTGATTTTACACGTTTACACTTTACAGATCTTTACAGTCTCTTTTTCTGTGTTTTTGTGTTTTCTGCACTGAAATCCAGTGCAAAGTCCATCCTGCTGGAAGATGTCAGTCGTTTCGCGCAGGTGAAACATCAGGGATAGCACCCTTCAGGTGCCTTCAGCGACCAACCCGCGAGCCCTCCCCACCGCACCTCCAAGCGCTCCACCTGAAAGGGATGTGCAAAACCAGTGATCCTTTTGCCTCTGGATGTTCAAGAGTGCTCAGCTTTTTTAGAAAGACAAGATCTTGCACCTGCAAAAACATGCAAACTGCCCAGCCATACTTCTTTAGTTCCATGATGTTCCATGTTTCCGGCAGCATCCCCGTGTGTATTGTTGGGAACATTGAACAGTTCTGCGCTACCCCATTCACATCTCCACTGCCTCGAACTGACAGCAACTTCTTGAGCGTCCTCGATCTCTCCTCCAATCAGCGACTGCCAAACATCGGCGGAGACCACAATTGCGGTCTTGGGTCTAAAGTAGTTACTCTTTCAAACACTCTGAGATACTCTGAGGGTCCGGGATCTTGGGATAATGGCTTCCTTCCACCAGAACCCCTTATTAGTTTTGGACCGTCATTTGCCAGTCTAATCATCAATCCTCCTGGCAGAAACCAATCGATCCAGTCTTCGGAGTGCTGTTCGACACGGAAAAGAGCTCCGACTGCTGTTCGATCGGCGTTGGACGCTTCGTGTCACCAACGCGCGGTGTTTTCCGCACCTTCCAGGACTTCCAAAGGAGCTGTATTAAGGTGCGGGAGGTCATGACACTTAGTATTATGTAATTACAATTTAACTAATAGGCAGGTCTATCCTATTACCAGTACGTAAACAGTGGATGATGATGGTTACGGTTAGTCAAGGCCTTGCTGAAAAATCGTGGTGTTACAGGCAATAGGACGTCGGACAAACCCAACCTTTTACCACTGAACCTCGATTCCCCGCTTCTCAGTCTCCTCAGTAACTTGGATTTCTCGAAGATCATTGGCACGCCATGCACCTGGCGAAGGAATCGCGGATAGGCATCACACATTTGGCTTTCGGAGGGAAAGAACTTGACTGTGCCCTTTCACAGCAGTGGTGCTGTTGATGGCTGGTTGTGGTTGTTCAGTAATTGTCTCCAACAGTACACTTAGCAGTAAGTATTGCATGAATCACCGGAGTTTCGTGGAAGGTAGTTCATAAAAGTCATAGAGCATGCAAAAGGAGCGGAGTGACACCAGGGACAGCAACTATAGTCAAAACTGCATGGAAACACGTTGTTTCTTTTCTGAAGTTTGGTGTCTAATTATTCTGCGAAGTGTCGGCACACCTTCTCTTGAAACTGTCATAGACTTTCATCCTCCTCTCAGACTCAGTTCGTTCGATTCACGTCGTTTTACTCCAACGACTTTGGCCTCTCAGCACCGAATCCGTCTCATCAGCGGCCTTCATGGATCCCACTGGCAGCTTGGCGAAGCGTAGATTGGACCTGATGCAGCGAGCAAAGTACACGGTCTATCTCCGGGTTCCGTGGACAGGGAAGATGCTGTTTGTTGTTCAATGTTTTTTTGAAAAAGGCACTAGCCTCAAGACAAGACATCTATAAGACCTGCATCACTTGCAAATGTTTAGTTGTTGCTTGTGGACGCAGGATGAAAGCAAAGCAGGGAATTCTTGAATTTTCGTTCGGTATTCGTGTATGCGAGGGTCTAATATGAAAATCAATGGATATTCAATGGATTTCCAAACATCCAAGATGGCCAACGTCTTCCTACACCTCCAGAGATTGATCTGACTTTACTCATCCACTGGATCCTTCCGGATGGACGACATCTCAGGTGCTGGCGACAGGTCGGTCAAGCGTGGATCGTCGATCCTCAGCTTCGCAGTTCGGTCAGTGTCAGGTGGAATGAACACCGATAGGCACAGTAGATCCCAGAAACTTCATGTAGTATACACCTAGTAAGTATGCCATATGGCTTGTACACCTATGGCATACTGGCACATACATACCTATGGCATAGTATCCGTAGTATGTCCACATATGGCATCTACACCTAGTAAGTATGCCATATGTGGAAGAGTATGTCAGAAGTATATCTCGGATATATTCCATCAACTTCGCATTATCAGTAGCAGTGGATGATGATGGTTCAGTTGCAGGCCGTTCTCAAAAATCACCCGGCGTTGTTTCAGTTCGCGGAAGCTAGCTCGCTCATTGAGCCTTTTTTTGGCTGTAGAATGTACTGTTTTTGAAGTCTGACAGATGAAAAGCCAGCAAGTCCTTGGTGATGTTGGTTACACCGTCCGAGTGCTAATGCATTATTGACATCATGTGTGTGCTTGCCCTGTGGCCTTCCCGAAAGAGAATCGACAAAACTATTGATAGTGTGAGTTATGCTGCCCGAATGAAATTGCGCCATTGAAAGCGTGTGCGTGCTTTTGCACCTGCGGATTTCCCTATTGAGGCTGATTGAGTACAACACGCCTAAGATAGGTACCTTCTTCTGACCCTTTGAGCCCTGCATCGTTCACAAGTGCTATCCGTGTGAACGGTCTTCGCCGCGAAGCGGTGTGAATGGTGATAACCCTTTATTGACTGTTACTGGCAATAGGTCAATAGGCTACACGGATAGGTATATCCCAAACACTCCATGTGCACCTAGAATGCCATACATGCGAATATGCCGATCAGTTGGGGTGATTGAAAAAGGGGTCAATGTTCGCACATATGCCATGCATTGTGTGATAGGATGTGATAGCTATTCATGATGTAAATAAGGGAACCCGACCCCACGTGGATCCGAAAGCATTCTGTTCGCATTCGAAAACAGAAAAAAACTATGGTTGAAACGCAGCCATCAGTTGAAGCTAGTTCAACCTATACTTCAACCTGAGTCTCCTTGAAACTCTCCGCACCTGGAACATTTTAGGGATGAAGACAAGATAAGACAATTCTCACCGCTCACCAGGCTACACCAGGCTACACCGTGCGAAAACCTTCCTTGTGCTGTGCCGGTTGGCATCTTGTCGCGGAAGAACTCCAAGGATTGTGAAAGCTGCTGAAAGAACTTGGAGAGAAACTTCAGGCAAGCCTCTGACGATGTCTGCAGCTGAAAGGCGCTGGATTTTCGCGAAAAAACACTGGAGAAACGATTTGTTGCTTGGCTGGAGAGTTCACGCATGATGGTGAAGATCAGTTGGTCCAACCTCAGAATCCGTAAGTCCCGCCATGTACACCTGCAATCGACCTCTTCGGCGGCAACTTTATGACCACCCCCTACATCCAACTTGGCCGAAAAAAGTTTGTGCCTCTCGGGAGGTCTGCTCCAACTCTTGAATGCCATGCAGAATCACCTCACGCGCGACACATGAACGCAGGAGATGGACTGCTGCGCCGGTGTTTCAACAGGTAGGGGCCGGTAGGGGTTGATGTTGTTGTACATGTGATTCGTTTTCGGTCTGAGTCAGGTCTGGTTGACAAATGTTGAAGGTAGACCTTGTGAGAAAGGATGCTTTCACTCTCCCTGCGAGCAATACTGCCCAGACTATCAGAATGTCTCACCTGTTGAGCTGAATTGCTAGAGCTACTGTGAATGTATGCCCTGCAATCCATACCCTTGGTTGTGTCTGTCAAGTTAGATAGATGTTGCTGCCACTGAATTCTTTCATCGACATTGAATGAACCACTCGTACATCCTGTAAGATCAACTCATGTCCACTCATCTACTACTGGGGAGTCATGTGCAGAACCTTTATGGTTTCAGATGTGATTGGTGAGTGAATCTATTCTAATTCTACCGTGATTGCAAGCTTCTGTGTCCTGGACTGCTTCTAGATTCTTCTGACTGCTGGTTTCTGTGTCCTCAAAGCAGATTCCCCTCAACCCTCACCCGACCCAGACTGCTCCAGGAGGCCCAATGGCCCAGAAGGCCGGCGCCGGTGCAGAAGCGCACGTGGCTCGGCTCCAGGATGAAACACCTCTAGCGCTTTGTGGTGGTTTGAGAAGATTGAGGAGCTGGTTGAGCTTCAAAAGACGACCTGCTCATTGGACACTCATCGCTACTAGGGTGGAGGCCATCGCTAGTAGGGTGGAGTGGGTGGAGGCCATTGCTATTTGGGTGGAGGGTTAAGCTCCACATCCGTCGTATATATATATACATACATCTGGCTGAGTCTGTATTCCCAAGTACGTATAGTGCTTTATATGTGGAGTGGTCTCATGCATCTTTTTCATGAGAGCCAAGAGTCTTTTGTGGAGATCTATTAAATTACCTGGCGGATCCATGCTGCACCAGCAGGGAGCCTGATGCATATGGATCCATCCTCCGAAAAAAATCCATGCTCGTGCTTGGCCAACCCATCTCTTCGACCAACCCATCATGCCAAGCAACTGGTGACAGGCAATGCCGCAGCAGGCCGCAAAGGCTCGGGTCACAGTGCCTGAGAAGGCGGCAACAGGAACACGTTCATGATTCCACGTCACCACGAGTCTACGTCGTTTTAGGCCTCCTCTGAAGGGTGCTGGTTGAAGATCAGGTGCCCAAGCATGTCATTAGTTATTTATATGATGTGCTGTTGGGTTGCCACATCACCATCTGCTTCGAGAATGCCCAACCAAAACTGATTGAAACAGGCTGCAAATGAAGTCTCATCTAGGGCACTCTGATGCGACATGACCCAATCTTTTGTGGCTAAGACCAACCCGAGTCACACATCTCGATTTCCATGCCGACCACTGTGGCCAGTGACCCCTTTGAACCACCCCAAGCCTTTACCATTGCGTTTGAATCTACCTCACATCCCTCCTGTTTCTTCTTTCATCTGCCAACAGCCACTATAATATAGTCACTTACAACAATCATGCACCTCATAGCGGCCTCCTTCCGCCTCACCACCACCGCCTCCTTCTCTCCTCAGCACCCCGCGCCCCAATCCATCCCGACCATCCCCACTCAGGACCCAGAGGCTTCCAAGGTGACTCTGTAGCACTGGACAGGTCAAACCTCCATCGCGCGCCAACTGTTGCGCCAACTCCACGTAGCACCGCTCCGTCGGAGGGCAAATCAGCTCGTCTCCTGACCACGGTTCTCCGCACGGTCGCTGCTGAGACCGTGGCGTTTGGACTGGCCGGACCAAAAAAAGGAGGGTCCGCCAAAAGCTTGGAGAGCGGATGGAATTGCTAGAGTGACCTATAGAGTGAATGAGGCAAGGCCTTGAGGCCACTTCGGAACGGAGAAGTACGGTACATGATCTGAGGAAATGATGTCAACAAACATGACTTTTCAGTAACGTGCGAACCACTATGTTCATCATTGTAGTCCTATCTAAATCTACCCAGAGCTGACCGTCTGACCATGTCTGACCAATTCCAACGCCTCCATAAAGCTCCCAAGCAAACTCCAAGATCAAAGGCTTCAACCTCAATGGCGCTGACATCCGCTGACTGCATTTGTTTTTGTGTGTGCCGACTGCGCTAGCTAGCACGAGAGGTCGCCATTAGCGCTACAGATCCACTTCATGAGCCTATAAGAGCTCAACAAATATGCTTCAGGAAATCTGCCAAAGGGCCAACGAAAGAGACCCGGAGACCCCGTATCCTATCCGTGCTTTTGGATCGCTTTCCTCAACGACCTCCAAACCAAGCAGCTCTACTGCCAAACTTTCGGAAGATCTCCAGGCCATCCGCAGAAACTTCAATTGCTGGGCCTTGAAAAGCAAGCCGTGGCCAGCGGGGCGGTAGGAAGAAACCCGTATCAGCCTGTGGCTTTGGAAAGAACCTGTTTGCACTCCTGTTTGCATCTTGGAATGCCATCACATGAAACCACAGGGAAATGGTGAAACCATATTAGGATATATTAGGGGTTCTATGTTTCATGTATTGGGGTCTATAGCTGATCCTGAAAATCTTTAGCTAACTCGAAGCAAAGGTCTGGCACAAGTCTTTCCTTCCTTGCTCATTTCTGTGCAAGCATTTCCTACATAATGAGCTTCTCGATTTGTTTTACAACATCTCTTCAAACTCCAGACAGTCGAACAAATCCCAATTTCATTTCATCTCCCTACCTCTTCACCTCACTTTTTCCACGCATCGCGGAACCCCCCATGCCCCCACCGTCATTGCGCTGCGCGCTTGGCACCTCCTGTCGTTGCTCTTTAGCGCTGGCGAGCAGCTCCCGCAGCTCCAACGTCAACATCAACGCCGCGCCTCGATCGCGCGCAGGAGGAGATCGCGGAGGAGATCGCGCGCAGCTCTCGAGGCGTCCGTGCGCGCACTGTCCGCATCGCGTGGGTTCAGCTTCCGGAAGGTGAAGTGCACTGCGTGCACTGCGTAGTGCGTGCGACTTTGCGACTTAGCATGCCGTTGCTGATACAGGTTGAAGAGAACATACAGGTTGAAGTGGTTGAAGTCTTGTACTCTTGGGGGTACTAGACTAGACTCGACCCACAAACGATGTTTCGTGAGTTGGCAAAACCATGTGAGAACTTGGAGCAACCTGTCCATCAACATCATGACAGAAGTCAAAGTTTAGAAGAGGCACGCAAATAGAATTCCAATCAGGTGGTTAATGGCACCGTCCCATCGTTCTGTAGCCCAGAAGAAGAATGGTAGACAAGTACTCACAGGAATGACCAACCAAATTGTTACAAGCACATGGAGATTACCTAACAAATGGCTGTGAGTCAAAACCTCTTCCACCAAACCGTAGAAGGTTGACATCCCCTATATAAGGAATCCGTTCGTGTTCGGTGGTCAACCAGAGTGCCCGTGTGCCACGACCCACAGCCAAATGACTCTAAACAAAGCAGTCACTTCCTTCTTCCAGGACCTTCAAAGTGACCTCTTTGGAGTCTGCAAGTGACCTCTTCAGGGTCACCTCATTCTGGCAGCCGCTAGTAGCTTCTTGTTCCTAGAGTAAGGCCAGGAGCCCCTAGTAGCGTCCTTGCTCCTAGTAGTAAGGCCAGGAGCCCCTAGTAGCTTCTTGTTGCTGGTTTCTATTTGTTTCCTACCTCAGTTACCGACTTTGGGACGAGAGCTTAGCCCGTCTCCGACCTGCGCATGCGTCCTTGGAGACCGCGGTGTTGCGCGCCACCTGGAGGCGTTGCTAACCCGCTTCCGTTTCGCGTGGAAGAATGGCCCCCAAAGCCACTCAACCCCGCAAACATATGCATTTCCGTTCTTGGACATTCTTAGGAAATTCTTGGGAATTCCAGCTTGAGTAGCTGCATTCTATAGAATTTTTCCCTTGAGCTGGAGCTGATTTCCAGGTCCCATTATGTCCCAATCGTCATGTTTCCTAAAAGAACCTCGCTACGTGCGGTGGTCAACTGCGAGGGATATGTTTACAACTTCTATATATTGAATGCCTTCAGTTGCCCTAGCCGCCATGACATTCCTTTTCATTGGTTTCTCACCATGTTTGCCGGTCCAAAAACCAGTCCCAAGAGTGTGGCGATGCACTGCATCCTTCCAAAAGCATCTTCCACAAGGAACGATGCACTGCGGTGCTTCGCGGTTCACCAGCGCTTCTGGTGGGCAGGTCCACCATTCGTGATCCTTTCCGACTAGAGCAGTTGATCCAAATACCATCTATGCGATCTATGAACCAAATCAAACGTTTCTAGTGATTTGTGCTGTTAACATCTCTTTGAACCATTCCAATCACAACACTCTCGAACCCCCATTTGTTCTTCCCTTCGTCCCCTCCATCGCCGCCGATGCCGGCACCAACCACATTTCCAAGACCCGAAGACCCGGGCCTCCTCTCGGACGCGATGCTCCACGTAAGAGCTTAAGAAGTCCATGCCATCTGGCAGACTGGCCCTCAGTTTCGGACGCACGGATCTACGCAAGTTCGGCTTCCCCAGGCTTCCGATGGGAGCGATTTTGCGAGGAAGAACACTCTTTCGGGGGGCAATGCTGAGATGAAACACCTGTGGAGCACAACTGTGATCCAACTATATAGTTATAGCATGGGATATGTTTGCATGTCTAAGGGTTGCCTTTTGTCAGCTTGACAAGGGGTGTGACAACATCACGTGGCAATCTCCACCCTCGGAAGGTCAAACAACGCCCCAGCCCACAGTGACGTGGGGAAAACACGTACCTGTTCTTTGTCTCACATTTTTCGCCATCAACCCCTTGGCCCTTGGCCATTGGGGACCCTTGGGACCTCCAACAAGCTTCTTGGTCCACACCGCCCCAGAATGACTCAACTCTGAAGCCCAAGCGCCCATCCACCATCGAGGTCCAACGGATGCGTTCCGCGGTCACCGCCACGTGCTCGGGCATCGACCTGGGGTTGGGCAGTCATCCAAAGAATACTACACCTGGGAAGCACTGTAACAAGATCTTGTTTCTTAGGATGGCTGTTTTGAATGCTCATGAATCTCCACAACCAAGACAACAAAGATCTTCATCCCTTGTTCTCGTACGCCTGGGATTGGAGGTGTTTTCTTCCTGTAACAAGAGATTGAGATTGAGTTTGGGGCCCAACATGCCCCGACAAACAGGCGTTCATGTGGGGATTTCTGTGCCAGGATGAGAAGAACTATACAAGTCTGTGCATTTATGTGACTGCAATGTGAATGGCTCATAGTCCTAGATCGCTGAAAAGGAAGTGTTCGACCAAGCATGTTCACAAGGCCTATGGTTTTGTATCAGGATGAATCATCTGCTCTGAATGGTAGGTGCTCGACTGGGACTTTTCTAGGGAGAAAAAAATCGAGGCTTTTCAACGGATCTTGTGAGCCGCTAAGAACAGCATGATCCGCGAGTTGGCATAAGCCAAAACGAAAAAATATTGCCATGAAGTTCTACTTCCCACACCATACTATAGGTGAAATAATTTCCTGACACAACGCAGCTGTGTATAGGCGCAAAAGCTATAGCAAAGGCACACGGATGATGAGTCGTGCCGGCTAGAATGCCACGGTCCTATTTGCACTTGCCTAAGCTATTCAAACTGGACTAGCATAGCCGCGCTTTCCTGGTTTCCACATGGGAACACCACAATTCAAACACACCAAAACGACTTAAGCACCATTTCGACGGGCCGCTGTGCTGGGCTTGGCTCCAGGCTTCCCTTCTCCCTGCACATACAGTTGGCAGGACCCAAGCTTGGGTTGCAACGCGAGAGGTGGTTGCAAATGACAGAAATGAGATTGACCATCCTCAAGTTGAGTGTCCACGATCATTAACCACCACAATATAAATAAGTAAGGCAGGGGTATGCAGGGGTCAGTATCACCATCAAATCACACAGCCCCACAACAGCTGCTTTTGGGAAGTACTTCCACTTCTGATATTCAAAGTCCTTTCCCTTGACCAAATCTACTCAACTCTTCTAGACAAACATAGACAAACTCTTGATGCACTACCGCCCCCCCGGCGGTCTCTATCGGTCTCTCAGCACACGAAGAAGAACCAAAATCGTCAAACACCTTTGTTCTTCGTCACTCTGTCGATGGAACATCCTCAAACCCAGAAATCCGAAATATGATGAAGTGATCTGAAAGTATTGCTACCACGTTGCTCCGAAAAGTAGATGTCCGATTGGACCGTGCAAGCAGTCGCTATAGACTCTATGGCAGTCTCGATGGACAGCTTTTTAGAAGTTCGGTGTGGAGAGCTAGAGTTGGATCCTCAAACAAAACAAGTAGAGCAAAGCCCGCACCACCATGCCCGCTCATGAACAAATCTCAGACCTCAGGCCTGGCCAATATTCCAGCATATTCCAAACTTATTAACTCTTCACCTAATCGGACTGAAGCATCCAGGAAAGCCAGGAAAGGCTCATCGTCCAACATCCAAATCAAACCCAATGGCTCTTCCACAACAAAACGATAAAACTGCGACGACGTGTCTCTTTAAAGCGCCTCCAGGTCTCCATCTCCTGAAGCCCCGAGACCTGTGAGACCTGTGGCAGGGCGGCGAGGAGGACACCACAAAAAGTAAAAAGAATGCGATTTGTTTTGTGCAATCATGAATCCTTGTATCTTTTTTTTTATGTAGAATTACGTGTGTACAATATATTATATAATGTATGTTTAGTTTGTCTCTTTATCCAAATGCCTTTTTTGGTGTCCACTTGTTGTGTCATATTCTATTTTGTACATGCCCATACACATGCATATGCCATATGCCATATGCATGCGTTTAATGTCCAGAAGTACTTGGACATCTGGCTTGATCCAAAGACCCTTTGTAGGTCTTTGAGATGATCCAACCATTTCTTGCAGAATTCTCGAGTTGACGGGGAACAATCCTGAAAATCACTGCTTGGTGACGTTTTGGAAGTGGTCTCAATGCTTTGCAATCACTCTCGAGCTTTTTTTGGAAACCATTTTGCGTATCTAAATAAACTACAAAGCTACATTGACAATGCGATACAATGAGTATTTTGCAAGAAATCATCAGCAAAACACACGAAACACATGCGAACATCAGGTTCATCAGCATCAACTCATGTCGTACACATCCCACCATTACTGTACGTCTAATTATACCAATCACATCTGTCGGACCTACATCCCAGATGTAATCCCATCACTCCCAGCTTCGGCGAACTCTTCGAGTTCTTCGCCTCCCACAGGAGCGATGCAAAGGATTTGGCCACGGCCTTCTCCAAGGTTGGAAGCCACTCCTGGAGTGGACGTTCCGAAACAGGTGGACCCAAGCAGATACACAGGACCGATCCAAGCAGGAATCGGTACACCGTTCCGATCATCTTTTTCCAGGACCTAGTGACCCAGCCGAAGAGAGACAGATCCCACTTCCAGAAAAATATCCCACATGTTGCGCGACCAGGATGAAATCTCCGTTCGACCCAAGAATTTAGTTCATGTTTTTTCGTCCACTCTGCGTTCGCCGTTGTTGGGCGGCATTCACGCACGGAGCTCTTCTCCGTAGCTCATTGGAGTAGGGTCTTTGATCGCGGAGGGAGGGCTGCAGAGCTGATCTTCCATGCAGGTCTTCCAGTCTTTCAAAGATCTTTTCCACATATCGTCTGACTCATTCGACTGGCAAAACCATGCAAAAACCGCATTCGAAGGAACCATGACTACTGCAGCCATGGAAGACATAGACTGACATCACCTGGGCAAACTTGGACAAAAACGAGTCGCTGACGGCTTTTGGCGCATCGTGACTTGGTGCAGGATGTCTTCGTCCAACTATAAGATCCTACGCATCCCTGAGATTCCTAAGATCACCCCTGATCATGATCCGTATGATGTTCGAAACATGCTTTGAGAACTGGAAGGGTTGTATCTCGACTTCTGATTTGTGATCCTGCTGTTGGAGTGGAATCCACTTGGAACCCAAATGCATTCCTAGTGTAACGGCGAGTCCGTAAAAGTTCATCACTGCTGAAAAGCAAAGTAGATCTCAGATTTGAATGTGATTCCCCTGACTGGCAGTTCAGCTGTTATTTCGCATCTCAACACATTTTCATGAATATAGATGATGCCAAACACACATACTGCAATAAGTTGGCTAACAACACATATACTGATACTGACATACTGATCCCGGCTATAAGATGCTATAAGAACATGAATTTGTTTGGGAATGTCTTCAAGGTAAGTAAAGCGCCATATATCTCAAGTTCTGATCTGCTTCCATCCGCACATCTGACCGAACTCCCGTTCTATGCACACAGCCGCCATCTTGGCGGCAGGGTGGCTGAGCCACCAGGGGACATGTGGAGGTCCTTGAGTCAGTTTGAGGGTCTTCAGTCAGTTGGAACACGACCAAGCACAAACAAGGAACTTGAGTCTTCAAGTGCCAAACACCAAGCGCATGCACGATATTCAAGTATATTTCACGGCTTTTTCAAGGAAGATGCCCATGAAATCTGGACTTCTTCCACCGGTGCTGCGACCCCTTTCATTCGCTCTGAGGGACTCCAGACAGGACCTGAATCGGATACATGAGGCGCTGCGCCTCATCCGTCGAGGACGGATGCAGCAGCTCCAAAGATCTGTGAACATCCGCAGCAGTCTAAGAGCAGGACTCTTCACCTCAAGAGCCAAGACTCTAGAAAATCAAGTACACGGCACACCGAGAGGACTACGGTTCAGACCGAGGAGAAAAAAAACGTGGATGTTTTGCGTGATTCACTGGTGGTGTTTGTGGCTCCTGGCTTTACTACGAGTAACAAGAAGCCACTAGTAACAAGGTGCATCGCTACTAGGAACAAGAAGCTTGACATTACTTTCATCTATGGGGGAGTATCCTCCGTGCAAAGCCCCCCTCAGAAGTGATTCTTTGGAGCCGCGAAGCATCCGCCAAACCTCCTACTTGCTTTTGGCTGTGGCCACGGTCCATGAGAAGGCGATATCTGCAAGCTCTCCTGAGCAACGGGTGGGGTTGGCTCAGAATTCGATGACTTCGCTGGGTCCCAACATGAACAGAATATGGAAACACTAGGAGGCACGGATGAATGGTCCAGAGAGGACTTCATCAAAATTTGAGCACGGAAACGACTTTGGTGGTCAAAACGCTGTGCTGTCATGGGTTTGCTTGACCTTTCAGAACTAGCTTCGGAGTCAGAGCGGAATGGGAAAATATTGACACTCGCTTTTTGGTATAAAACCCAACGAAACAAGCTACATGAGCGCCAATTTCTTCATATAGTTAGGTCATATTTATGTCGGTTCATGTTGTTTCTTTGAAGTAATATCATTGACCCTTCAAACATGATTCACCTCTTTGGGACCCGTTGAACCCACATCGGTTCGTCCAAGAGTCCCAAACCCAGGGAGGGCGCCACCGACGGCTCCACCTCCGACCTCGCTTGGTCAGCCTCGTCGGCGTCGCGCTGCCGGGGGCTGCGGCGCACGACGCTGACCTCGTGCGGCTCGACGAGCTCCTGCAGATGGAGTTGGAAGAGCATCGCTACTAATAACAAGAAGCTAATGGTAATAAGGTGCATTGCTGCTAGTAGCAAGGACGCTACTAGTAACAAGTGCATGTCTACTAACTACGGGTTTAACTACGTGTAACAAGAAGCTACTATTAACAAAGGGCATCGCTACTAGTAACAAGTGCATCGCTCCTGTGGATGGAGTTGGAGGAGTACTAGTACTGAGGGATAGCGTACTGAGGATCGTGCAGTCTTCAGCGGTGTGGATCGGGTGAATCGTCCAAGCAACATGTGGAAGTCTAATTAAATTCTATATATTGTTTCTACTAGCTTCTTGTTCCTAGTAGCTAGGCCAGGAGCCCCTAGTAGTGTCCTTTGCTCCTAGTAGCGATGCCAGGAGCCCCTAGTAGCGTCCAATCATGTGAAAGTCTTGGTGATGTGTTCTTGGTGATCTGTGTGCGCTATCCAGGGTGGATCTGGAGGTCACCGACCACCGCTGGCAGTTGCCCTGCTTGGAAGCCACTAGATCACTCGAGGGTTCGAATGGTTAACCAGCCAAACACATGATGAGCAGAACATTCTCTTTACACTGGTTTTGGTCCACCAAGAGGGTCGGATGGTTCAACATGGGGCAACAGACTTTGGTCAAGTTCAACATTAGGTCGAGAAGAATTATCAACGGGGGGATTGAACAACAGCTTTTCCGCTTTTCCCTCATCCTCATACCATGAATGCTCACCTCCTACACCTATTCCAACTGCTCGACATTGTATTCAAAACATTGATTTGCCAACTATATAAATCTTTACATACCATGTTCACCCCACTAACTTATTGACAACCCCCCAAAAAAAGTTCCTCCTCCCCGTAATTTATCACGAACACGTGTTATATACACACACATGTGTTTTGCTTGTTCCTGTTTGATTCAGAGAACCACTCTCGCACCTTGGAGAGGAGCTGCGTGAGGATCTTCAACTCCTCCTCGCAGCGCTGCTCATCCACGTAGCACTCCCGCATCACTCGCTCCAACAGGCGAATCTCCAGCACCGCCCCTCGCTGTTTCGGCTCGTTTCGGCTGCACCGTTTCGCTTGGATGAACATCGAGAAACCTCGTGTGGTGGCTGTGGGGGTGAGGTGTTTGTGGAGTACACCGGAGAAAGACTTCAGATACCTTCAGATCGAACTGTTTTCTCAAACATTGCACAACACTTCGATTGAGGAGTCAAGGAAGAAAATGATCCCTAAAGCCATCTAAAATGCCCTGGCCATGTCCGACGCCCAGTCCCCAACAGCTGCCAGCATGCAGTCTACCGTCTACCACGTCCACATCTCCCTTCTCCATCCAGCCTGAGACCACCTCTCCATCGCCCAGCACTCCCAGTTGCGCCGGTAGCCGCCCGCCCAAGCGCTGCGTCTCTTGCAGCAGCGGCCGCAGCGCCTCCAGGTGCTGCCGCCGCTCGGCGGCGAAGGCGTCCCAGTAGGGAGCGCCAAACCTGGGCCGATCGCGGCGGCTTGGAGGTGGGAAAAAGATGGAAAAAGGATCAAAGAGAATACCTCAATCTCTTCAAAGCAAAAACGTGGTGCCAAGCACTTCAATCTTGAATTCTGGTATACTCCATGTCAGCATGCGTGGAGTCAAACAGAAGAAATGTGTGAAAGAAACTGCTTCAATGTCCGAATGTGGAGTGAAAATGGGTTGACCTCAAGGGCTTCCAACATGGCCACAGGTCGTCGGATCATCTGGGGTGTAACAAATTCACATCAAACACAGTTCTGTTCAATGCCCACCGGTTGACAACGTCTTTTTGGGAGGACATGCTAGAGAGAATATACTCCCTGACACATCATCTGCCAAGAAAGTAGGGCATCTCTTACTTATCAACTTATTAACCAGCTATATATTTAATCAGATACAGTTATAATTCATACTCCATTGACTTAAAAACACACACAACCACTCCCTTGCAAAACCAACATCCACATCCATCCACCCATTCTCCACCTCCCCCCTTTCAACACCGAGGCGCCAGAGGTGCAAGGCGCTCCCAGGCGCCGCAGCCTTCACCAGGCGCTCGTAGCTGTGCTCGGGATCATCAGGAGAAGCACCGAGCACTCCACAAAGCTGCAAGATCAACTGGCTACCTGAGCTGTGCCAAGCGGTTTGTGTTGCTCAATTGTTGCTCAGCTTTCATACGTCTCTCTTCTGACTGACGCGCACGGATTGCGCGGGACATGTGAGAAAGGTGATTTCAGTAAATCTGTGAATCGTCTCTGGTAGCAACGACACTGGCCAGAAAGTCTGTCAATCCTCCGAAATTCTGGCAGATTTGGGAAGCGCCAATCTGATGTTCACAGCCCCTAACAAAAAACTAGGGTGGTCCTATGATGAGTCGTCTACCCTAAAATGCAACTTTCAAAGCACCAACTCGCATCATGCACCCAATGTACATCTCCGCCATTCACCTCCAAATTCACTGACAGATCAACTCACAAATCCCTTTTTCCTCCTATGGCCTATGGCTGTCTGTTCCACTACAAGCGCAAACAAATCACTTCTCTTAAACACACCTATTCATTCAGCGTTTCTCCCTTCGTCTTCCTTCGTCATCACATCCCATCACATCCCAGGAAGCCCAGCTACGCTTCAACAGCACTTCGCACTCCTCCAGATCCGCCGGTTTGGAGCAAAGCACAAAGAGCCCTGCGCCGTGGCCCAGCAGCGCATCCGTGGCGATGGCCTTGCTGAGCTGCGGAGCCATGAACAGCTCAGGCGC